CTCCGTTAGTGTGAAAAGGCAGTTCCCCAGCTGATGCCCGCGGACTTCCTGGCTGAGCCAAGGGCGGCATGGAGCGCACAGGGTGGAATGGGCGAGCCTGCTGGCCTCAGCTTTTGTTGCTGCTGCTTTTAGAGGCCAATCCTGAACCCCCAGCCTAGAGTTAGGCTGCCCCGGGGGCTCAGGAAGCAGGGCACTGGTTGTGGGAACTGCGGGTCCAGGTGTAGAAGGGGTGGGGCAGTGGGGCGAGCCGAGGACCTGCTGCAGCTGTCCTGCCTCCCGGGCCCGTAGCCCCGGGCTCTCCCAGGTGGAGCCGAGCATCAGGCAGGACGCCTGTCGCATTTATCGACCAGACACTGGGGGAGCATCCGGACGGCTTGCTCTGGGTCGAGCCTTCTCTGGGCTGTCTGGCTGCACCTTCAAAACTATTTATTCACCGAGAGCCCTGGCGCTTCAGGAGGCGTCACTTTGGTTACCTTGAAAAGCCCCCAGAGGCTTACAGTCTTGGAAAATATTTTTGACTAGCTGCTTGAGCTGGATGTACAAAGGAATAGGCGTTATTTTATTGCTGTAATATTGTATGATACTGTAACTATACATTAATGTCACTTATTGTAAATGTACCATGGTTTTATTAACAATAAACACTTGTTAACAATGACCTTGGTCTTGTCACTCCTGCTAGAGGGTCGCTCAGAGCTGGGCTAACTCCTTGGTTACTCAGGCCTCCAGCCCCTCCAGCTACAACTACCCTGCACCCCACCCCCCCGCGCATACACACACACTCACACACACACACACACTCACTCTTCACCCAGAACCTGAGCCTGGAGCTGGCCCTTGTTGGGCCCTACTTTTCCTCTTCTGTCAAACAAGGTAGCTGAGGATAGAAAATCCTTCTCCTGTGTTTAATACTTATGTGCCATTTATGAGGACAGAAAAGGGGTTTGTGTGGAGTGATGGGAGCCCCTGCCAGGAGTAAGATGGTTGTCAGGGGCTTTTCTGGTCTTCCCTGAGCCCAGGCCACCCCCAGGGCCCTCACGTGGGAACTACTACTAGGGCTGTCTTAACGTCTGCAATTCTTGTGTGGTCCAAACCTGTGTGGCCGGCGAGGTGGAGGCCAGGCCTTCTCTCCCTGATGAGGGGGCACCTGTCCCTCAGTGGCTGCTGCCTCTGGGCCCAGCTGAGCCCAAGCTGGTCTGTGCCATCTGGGAATGGAGAGAGGACAGTTAGCCGGTGACTCGGGCCCAAGGGTCTTCTGGGACAGGTTATAGTTTGTTTCGGGTACGAAGTCCAGGCAGAAAGAAAGGTTTTTTAAATGTTTGCTACCTGAGACAGGAAAATTTCTACAGTCACTAGAAACACTGGCCTGGGTGGCTGTGGTTCAGTAACTAATAGGCCGGAACTCAGAAGCTGAGGGACAGCATCAAGACCTCAGGGGGTCAGTTGGTGTCAGTCCAGGAAAGGCCTGATGCCCAGCTTTGCGGGACAGGGCCCAGGTCAGGCAGCTTGAGGCCCAGCCTCGGCTCCTGGCCTGGGTAGGGGAGGGACCCTGCATGGACCCATGGCGCCCTCTGGGGCCACAGGGAGGAGGTGCGCCCCTTGGCACCACCCTGGGCAGAGGCCCCTGGGAGGTTGGTTTAGGGGTCTGTCGCTGCCCAGCACTTGCCATCCACAGTGACTACCTTTCAGGGGTGAGTGGCTACCCTTCCCTCCACGGGCCTGTGTCCACACTCCTCACAGGTCTCACCCCCACTCCTTGTGCCCCTCTATAGGATATGCCTCAGTCAAGTACCTAGAGAGCTCAGCCACCCTCTTTTGGGCGGGCAGGCTAATGAGAAGGCAATGAAAGGGAGGGATGGGGCCCCTTTGAGCCTATATGTAGCCGAACACACTAAGAAAGCATTTCGATAATAGAGGGGCACCTAGGTGGCTCAGTCCTTTAAGCATCCGACTCTTGATCTCAGCTCTGGTCTTGATCTCAGGGTCGTGGGTTCAAGCCCCACGTCGCTGGGCATGGAATCTATTTAAAAAATAATAGAGGGGCGCCTGGGTGGCTCAGTGGGTTAAGCCTCTGCCTTCGGCTCAGGTCATGATCTCAGGGTCCTGGGATCGAGCCCCGCATCGGGCTCTCTGCTCAGCGGGGAGCCTGCTTCCTCCTCTCTCTCTGCCTGCCTCTCTGCCTACTTGTGCTCTCTCTCTCTCTATCAAATAAATAAATTAAAAAAATAATAATAATAGATAAAAATCAGATTCTTCCAAGGGGACTAGGAGGACCAGGAGCGGAGGTGTTTGGTCGCCTTACCTTAGCCCTGGTGGCTGGGCCCCCTCCTCAGGGCCACTGCTCCAGAGCATGAGGGGGAGGGGGAGGCATGGGCATCTCCAGCTGCCCTCTTCAGGCTACTAGCAGCCAAAGGCAGGCTGGAGGAGAGAAAATAAACTTGTCCTTCACAGGAGTCCCTGGGAAACAAGGGACTGAAAGCAAGTTCTATACCAGAGGGAGTTCGGTCTCCTGCGACCGCCCTGCAGATGAAAATCCGGCGCTTAGCAGCTGCAGCCTGGGCCTTGGCCCCAGAGGAAACCCTCTCCAGACATGAGGATCCCCTGCCTTCCCCTCCTTCCCCGTTTCCTTGCTCTGCTGGTTACCGGTGCCAGTCAGACACCAGGACCATGGAAACTCTCCCCGGCCGAACCACCTACAGCACCACAGGAGACCCTCGGGCCTTCCGTTTGCTGCCACCCCACCCCTCTGCAGACCACATTCCCCTTTAAGCAGCCGCCCACAGGCGGGGTATTCCCTCCCCAAGGCTGAGACCTGCAGCCCCCGGCAAGCAGCCAGGTCTAACGGCCCGCAGACGACGAGTCTACATTTTTCCAAGGCGGCGGTCACTTAACTCCTCCACTCCCCAGCCTCCACAGCCCTCTTTGTGTCCACCTCCCGGTCACTCTGGAGTCCTCTGGGGAGGCTGGAGCCAGACGAGCAGTGGAAGCCCCGGAGCGGGCCGTGGGGAGCCCGTCCCGGCCTCGGGGCTGCGGGGGGGCCAGGGGGCTGCGGGGCCAGGGGCCTGGAGGATGATGAAACCCATTTAGGCATCTTCTTTGTTCAGGCTTCCTGAGCCCCTTCCCGTCCCGGTGACAGCAGCATTCATAGCCAGCCTTTCTGAATCCATTTCACCAGGGACATTTCCCGAGAGCCTGGCTTTACAGATGTCACTCTGTCTGGGGGCCAGATGGCAGTCTGGGGGAGGTGTGCTTTGTCAGGTTCGGAGGAGAACCTGCGATCACAACCCCAAGTGCAGGGACCTGCTTCGGAACATTCGCTTTGCCAAGAAAAGGGCCAGGACCGTAGGTAGTAGGCGAATGTTCGCTTCCTCTGCGTGCAGAGAGGAGGCGGCCTCAGAGAGGCGAAGAACAACCTTGATGGAAGCCGGACGGCCCAACAGGTCTGACCGCCAGGTGCACCCTCCTGCTGCCCAAGTGGGGCTCTTCCCCTAGGGCTGTTAGAACAAAGCGAAGTCTTAGCACTTTGTGTGTCACCAAGCAGCTCACCTGGTTATATGAACACGGGCACGTGACCGAGACTTCTGGAGCCCTTGCCGCCTACCAGGCACCATGGTCCGCTCCTCTTACTCGGCTCCACTCACTGCTCACAGCGGCCCGGGAGGCGTGAGCGATCATTGCCAGCAGCATCTTACAGAGGCGACTGGACAGCAGGTGCAGGTGAGTGACATGCCCCGGGTCACGGCGAGACTCGGACAGAGCAGGGTTGAAGCCAGGAGGTCTGGCTTCAGGGCACCTCTCCCTGCATCCTGGAGCAGAGCACGAGCCAGGCTTCGGGGCTGGAGAGGCCACTCAAGGGCTGGGCCCCCCTAACCATGGGATGACACGGCCGGATAGTTTAAAGAAACCATCCAGCTCTGACCATCTGGGATTGACTTTGCTTTTAAGCATCTCTCCTAAGAAAATCCTCCTTGAAAGTCAGGCTCAGGCACTCACCTGGAAAAAGCGGATCAGAAATTAGTCCTTATTGCCCCTCTCAGCAAACCTTTCTGCAGACCTGACGGGGGGTCGGCAGGCAGACACCTGCAGATCCAGGAGACAAAAGGTCCCGAGGCCTGTGTAGACAAGGTACAGGGGTCCCTAGCCCAGGCAGAGCCTGCTCTCCTTGCTGTGGCTGTGAGTTCCGGGCAGTGTGCCTTTAATCCTCTCTGCTCCAGAAGCTTCCCTACCTTCCCTGCCATGTGTTAAGACTTCTGGGAACCTGGATTACACATCATGGCGGAGGAAAGGGTCCTTGGACTCATGGAAGACCAGTCCTTTTCAATTCTATGAAAAAACAAGGAAGATCAGGAACCAAGGCCTAAATGTGAATTTTTCCAGATAAAACGAAGAGTGAGCACGGAAGCTGGAGACTGATGCCGCCAGGACTGCCCTCAGCGGCCATGTACGGCACCGGAAACAGGATCAGAACAAGGACACAACTGAGTGGACCTGCACCCGGAGCTTCGCTCGCACTCCGAGACAGGGCTGAGGAACAAGCCCAAGGAAACCGGCAGAGGCCCTCCAGGCTCAACACTTAGTATCACTTTGAAATCCAGCACTGTTACTGTCAAACACACAAACCAAAGTATGTGTGAAGCCACCACATCATTTCTGTCCCCAACAGAAGGAAGGAACCAAACGACCGGACAGGAGCTCGGGGTTGGGGCAGGGGGGAGCCTGTGGCACCCGGAAGCCAGCTAGCTATGCCAGGTGCCACAGGGAGCACAGCTGGCTAGCTTCTAGGTGCCACAGCTTGTCCCTCAGAAGCTTGTCCCGCAAGCACGGTGGGTGCCGGCCACTTCTCCCACAGGATTCTGGGTTGGTAAGCCCTGGCCACTGCCCTCCCTGGCCTTGGCACTAACACCTTCTGAAGTCTACCCGGCAGCCAAGGTCCTCCAGAAGAAACAGGGCAAGGCCAACCCCCAGCTCCGTGGAGTCAATGAGCACTCAGAGGCAGTTGGGTCTTTCCAGCTTGTTATTTATTAAAAAATAGATTCTCTATCCCTCCCTCCCCCTGGCTAGCGAAAGAGTCTTGCCCTAAGTTTTTTCCCAAATAGATGAAATAATCAACCTGGGGGACTCAAGGCCAGATTCTTCTTAAATTAAGACCTCAGGCTTTTCTGGGACACGGGTCCTGCAGAGGCAGGAGTGGAACAGTTTACGGCAAAGCCCAGGGCACAGAACAGTGACCTGCCACAGCCACCTGGTCAGGCAGCGCTCCTGCTGCTCTAGGCCTTGGGGTGTCTGGATAAGGCCACGGCGAGAGGCCCAGGGCTCCACTGGCAGCGTCCCGAGCATCACCGAAAAGCTGTGTGCTTAATGCCTCAGAGGGGATGAGAGTCAGTGCGGTGTCGACACGTGTGAGAAGGAGCTAACACAGCTGGGCCCAGAGCAAAACAGGAACTTATAGGGGAAAAGAGACCTGGAGTGCGGGAGGGAGACCAGTCCTTGGCAGTGCCGGAGCTTTGCCTAACCATCGAGTTTTGGGTGGACCAGCAGGAAGGGATGTCGCCTTAAGCCAAGCTCAGGCCACAGACTGAATTCCTGGCTGGTCTCCAGGGCCGGTGGAGGCTCCTGCTGCCTTTAACAATCCAGGCCGCCGCCCGGTCCAGCCAGAGAGTCAGGGCGCTCTCCTCCCACGGCAGCCGCAGGTGCCCACGTTCTTCCTATTTCTTCTGCTTCAGTTTCCAATCCTTTTTGTTCTTTGGGTCTCTGTTTTTCTTCAACTTTTTGTTCTGTTTGGGTTCCTGTTTGGCTTCCAGCTTCCTTTTCTTGTCACTGGAGAAAAAAAACAAAAACAAACAACAAAAAAACCATGAGTAGAAAGAAAATGAAATCCACAGATCGGTACCATCGTTCAGACTGCTTGGCTTTAGGCTTGCTTTGTCCGGAAGGGTTTCCACCTTCTGGAACATTAATGACATTCGGCACAAATGTTCTCTGCAAGCTGCCCACATGCCAGGCACTGGGCTGGGGGATGCCAACCCGCTTCCTGCCCTGACCGGGCTCTTCCTCGGACAGGGGAACAAATCTCTCTCCCAACCCCTGAAAGCAGAGCTCTCTGTGGAGTACCGGTCATCCCCCGCTCCCGGGACCACAGGGAGATCTCCGGTGTCCGGAGGAGGGTTCGCTCCCAGTGCTCACCACTAGAGATTACCCTGGAAACCAGACACATTACCCCAAGGACCCCGAGGACAGTCTCTAATACAAAGTAGGAGACTCCCAGGAGAACCTTTAACACTTTGCGACGTGGCATTATTTTATTTCCCCTGAGGGAGAGGGAAACCCAAGCAGCAGTAACTCAGGTCTGGGCCGGCCAGCGGAAGCCTGGCAGTTCCATGCTGGAGTCACTCAGCAGCCGCCGCCCTCCGACCCCCTCACAGGGTAAAGATCCTCTACGGCAGCATTCTGCCCCAGGAACAAACACCTCCCTCTGAGGAGAGACCGAACAGTTCCACCCACAGACCACTAACATCACCTGAATGAAGTGACCTCCCGTGGATGTGGGGGGGGAGGTTCATAAAAAAGCAAGGCCTCAAAGAACAGGATGATAGAAATCAGTGTTTTTACCTCCAAGAGCACGATTTACTCAGAGCTCTCAAGCAGATGAACTACCACAAAGGGCAGGGAATCCAGGAGGCCCCTCACCAGCAGGAAGAGCCAAACCAACAGCCGGCAAAGCCAAGCTCTGAGGAGGGAGGACCCAGCAGTCGCCACACCAAGCACGTGCCCTGGCCTTTTGCAGCGCTCAAAGCCCCGCTCAAGGCTGGAGCCGTCGCGGGCCCCGGGCTCGCCCCTGCCGTATCATCCGAACCAGAAACTAGGACACACTGACAGGGCTCTCGTGCCACATCTGAGAGCATCTGGGGAGTATGGCTGACATCAACGCTGGTACTTTCAAGACCACACAGGAGCTTACGGAGATTGCAGAGGACATCATGATCTCTGGGATCTTCAGCTGCTAGAATCACAAGACTCGTCTTTTTAAATATATCCTCTAAGGGATGCCGTCCTATGGCAACGCCAAGAACTGCCCTCCCTATTAACCCCAAACCACACGTGGACATTCATCTCCAGAGTCCCAGGGCAGGGAAACCTCACTCCCTTCCCGAGGGATGATGAGGAAGGTTCTGGCCCGAGGAGCCATTATCTACAGATGCTCCCCCATGCAGAAGAGCAGCCGGAGGGAACGGTTTTCAAAGCAGGGTCCAGGCCTGCTGGGATCCCCTCCACCCTTCCAGGTGGGCCCGAGGTAGAAACTATTTTCCTAACAATATAAATACCCCGGCCGCCTTTCACTTCCGCGCTCTCACAGCCGCCGGTCTTCCAGAGGCCACGAGGTATGTGGTGGCACCAGACGGAAGGCGGAGGCAGATGAGCCAGCTGCCTCCCATTACGCCAGACAGTACCGCTTTGCAGAATGGAAAACCGTGCCACTTGGGACGCCTGGGTGGCTCAGTCGGTTAAGCCGATGCCTTCGGATCAGGTCATGATCCCAGGGTCCTGGGATCGAGTCCCACATTGGGCTCCCTGCTCAGCGGGGAGCCGGCTTCTCTCTCTGCTTCTGCCTGCCACTCTGCCTGCTTGTGCACGCGCTCGCTCGCGCTCTGACAAATAGATAAATAAAATCTTAAAACAAAACTGCCACTCTAAGATTTGGGGGGCAGGGGAGTATTTTTTAAAATAAATCAATAACAAATCCATGACTGTTAATTTTGGATGAATATTTTTGTTTTTCATTTCTAACACTGGAAATATTGAAATATACAACCCACGTAAACAAAAGCCCTTTGGGGGCCCTCAATTTTTATGACACTAAGGAACTCCAAGCCCTAAGCCTTGGAGAACCTTTGGCCTGAAGGTAAAACTCCAGCCTTCCCAGTGGACACACCTGGTCCCCATCCCAGCCCCGCCTCCACCCTACAGTCCTGGTCACTTCATCTTTAAAGCAGCGCTGGTGACAGAAGAGCCACGCTGTTGTTCGGAGGGTGCACAGGACACCGCACTGCAGCCCATAGCAGCCCCACGGCCCTGCCTCAGCTGTAGGAGACTGGATACCAAAGCAGCGACCCTCCAAGGAAAAAGAGCAGTGACTTGTCCCTCCAAGCTTTTGCTTCAAGCCCGATCTCCTAGTGAAAGTCACCAGAGAGGCACAAAAGCCAGAAAGCCTCTCCTGTCAGAGGTCACGGGGCCCTCCTCACCTCTTCAGGCTGACGATGGAGGCATTCTGCCCAGCTTTGTTCAAAACTTCATTCCATTCTTCATCATCCCCACGGATTATGTACCTAAACAAAATTTAACAAAAGGAAATCTCAGAGCCTGCTCAAAAGAAGACAGTGGCAACAGTCTCCTCAGACACACCCTGCCAGGGAAACCGGCGGCTGGTCAGTGCGAGCCAGAGGGCAGGGGCCGCGCAGAGCTGAGCTCCTCCAGCCGGGCGCTTCACTGGAGCTGGGGGGCACCGGGCCTGCCCGGACTCCCACTCCCCGCCCACCAGGAGAGCCTCCTGGCGCCCCCCCAGTCACTCACTCCCACCTCCAGGAGCACCCGGACAGCCACGCGGAGGGGGACGAAGAGTCCGAGCACACAAAGGGCTCCACAGCAAGGGGTCTGGTTGCTTTAGGCAGCAGAATCCTTTCTTCAAACACATTCACATGCAAGAGCCAACCACAAAGTGGCCATTAAAAGTGGCTGCTCATCAATCAGCATCCCCCCTCTTCCCTGAGGGGCCTGAAGGAAAATCCTTCCAAGTTCTGCAAAGAGTGAAGGAGGAAGCTTTCAGCAGTGAGTGCTTCTGGAAGGGTGCCACGCCACAGCTGCCAGGGCGCCCGGAAGGGGGTCAGAAGAGGCCCACAGGCAGTTTCTGAGGGTCCTGAAAGCCTTCGCTCCCCATAAGTCACTCAGGGGCCTTACTGGGAGAGGTCCATGTTCTTCAGCTTCCCCACTTCTTTCTTGTGTTTCTCCTGGAATTCCTTTGCTGCCTCATCCTGCGGTCAAAGCCCCGGAGACAGAGTTGGTCAGAGGCAAGCCGAGAAGGAAGCTCAGAAGAAAGGGGAGGGGACAGAAGATCTCTGTGACCAGCACACATCCCGCCGTCAGGGACAGCTCTTACCAAAGACACAGGAATATAAGATGTGCATTTGGAAAAGTCCAGAAGGACAAACAAGAAGTTGTTAGCAGCTGCTGCTGGACTACGCGCACACACGCATGCACGCACCCGATGGGACTCGCACGTCGAGGAGGGAGCTGGGGCGCACCCAGGCCGGGAGAGGGGAGCTCGCGCTGGCTCCACCCACAGAGCACGGAGGCCACCACCACGGCCACCACTGGCGGGGGTCAGGGCGGAGCACCCCTCCCCCAGGGGAAGGGCTGCACGGCCGGCAGTGCCAGGCCTTCAGTGGGAACGTACCAGGTCATCACTGAGGGTCCGCACAGTGGGCTCCATAACCACGTCCTTCACTGCCGCCATCTGCTCCTCGATGGCCCGTTCCTGCACCTCGCTGAACAGCTGCAAGACGACGGCCGGGCGCGGAAGATGAAGCCGCAGCCGGCTCCCAGCCCCTTGCCCCCGAGTCACTCGGCACCCACTTCACGCAGCACAGAGGGCACACATTCGCCGTCAGAGGGCAAGAACACAGACTAGAAAGACAGCAGATCCCTAATAGTGTTGCCTCTGGGAGAAAGCAAAGAACAGCAGAGACACAGCTGAAGCCCGCCCCTAGGTGTGTGCGTGCGTGTGTGCATGTGAGAGAGAGAGAAAATACCTGCAACAAATATGGCCAAATGTTACATCTATTTCTCTTAAGGCAGAGAGCGAGTTTGTTAAATTATTTGGAAACTGCCCAAAACCCCGCCCCCGGCTGCTCCTACCTTCACAACTTTTCGGATGATCCGGTTGAAAAGTCCCATCAGCTGGCCTGCAGGCAGCTCGATCTCCTTTTCCAGCTGGTCCACAGACTTGTGCTGGAGGCCAATTCCCAAGAGAAGAGCCTGGAGGATGGAGTACCTGCTGACGTGGCCACCGGGACAGGCCCTCGCCCATTCAAATGGCACCAAGCACCAGTCACTCTTTTGACCAAAGCCATCTGGATCAAAATCCGACCGGCACGGTCTATTCTGGCTTCTCCTCTTTCATCCTATTCCTGAAACCACCAAGAAGTGCTCTCCCCTCCTGAGCTCCCCAGACTGATGATCCTGACAAGAACCGCATGAGAAGTTCAGGGTGCCCCTGACCTCTGCTAAGCTAGAGTCAGAATCAAGGTGATGTGGTGGCGCGGGAAGGGCACGGGTTCAGAGCGCAGCTCTTCCACGCGCCAACTGTATGGCCGGGCACATGACCGCCTTCAGAGTCCAAGTGTCCCCAGCCATAGAATGGGGAGAACGCTACCCACGATCAGAACTACAAGGAATTAAATGCACAAAATTATATCCAAGTATCCCAGCCGTCACCCAGCACACAAGCAGCAGATAAGCTACCGACTGGGCTGCCGACAGGGACAGGTCCCCCAGCTGGTTGAGGAAATACATCCGGGAGATGGCCGGGATCAGGTCCATGATGAGATGATAGTCCACCATGTTCCGGGAGTACATCTCTAGCCTCTTCAGGTCATAGGAGAGGAAGAGGGCATCCAGCTCCTCCCGGCGCAGCGCTGTACATGCAACAGAAGGTCAGGAGGCCAGATGCCCTTGCAGGGTCTGACACGATCCCCACATCACACACACAATGGTCCCTAGGTGGCATGCCAATAGCTGCTCCTCCATGGGGCCTTGAACCAGAGCAGGACAGGAGCCGCCTGAAAGCACCTGCCCACTGACAGAACACACAGCCCCAGACAGCCTTGACCTTCATCCTGCAAGGGAAGAGGTAGCTTTGGGCCACCCAGGGAATGGGGACGGTTGGCACGCACCCCTTGCTCGGCATTCCATGCCAACACACCAGACCAAAAAACGCTCCTTCTCCACTGGGTCCTTCTCCTCGGGACCCAGCTTCACATAAAGTGTGTGCTCTGCCCAGTATAAGGAACACAGCTTTTTCCATTAAAATATAATTGGGGGGAAAAAAAAAAGACACACATACATAATGAGCACTGGAAGAAAAACCAACCTACAGCTGTTAATACTACAGGTCCACTTTTAAATATTCAAACAGGATTTATATGCCCAAAGCATCTCCCATGTGTCAGCCACGTCAGGTTGGGGCGCATATTCTTTTTAAATAGATTTATCTATTTATTTGACAGACAGAGACCACAAGTAGGCAGAGGGGCGGGGGGAGCAGGCTCCCCGCCGAGCAGAGAGCCTGATGTGGGGCTCAATCCCAGGACCCTGAGATCATGACCTGAGCCGAAGGCAGAGGCTTAACCCACTGAGCCATCCAAGGGGCGCATGTTCTTATTACAATTTCATCAATGAGGAGACTGAGCCTCAGAACTGAGCCGGTTACCCGAGCTCACAGGATTTAAATCAGGTTCCATAATTAACTACCTGTATGACCCTATTTAATATCTGAAATCAGATCACATCTCCAAAGTCTTGTTATACAGATGGAAGGTACTATGGGAGCTGGGGCCCCTAAGGTAAAGTTTGGTGGGGGGTGTCAGTGGGAGATGCCTAGGACCTGTCCCTCAATTCCTGAAATTCCTAATCCAGCCTTCTTTCTGGACCACCATGCTCACCTCACCTCCTCCCGCCACGAAACCTACCAAGATCTGCCACCACCAGCCGTCCATGCCGGCCTGCTGCTCACCTGGCTGTGCTGGCTTCTCGACGTTCTTGTTCTGGATGATGTTCAGAGCCAGCGGGGGAGAGAAGGTGCTGAACTGGTAGGACAGCAGGGCTAGGAACCGCCTTCGGAAGTCTGGAGTACCACACACAGTCAGAGGTGTGGGGGCCCCTTTCCTATTACCTCGCTGCCCCCCTTCCCCTCCAATTTACCTTTCCAAAAGGCCGGGAGCCAGGCTCCCCGGTCAGCCTCCTCCTCATCAGTTAGCGTCTTCAGCATGATGCATGAGTGCTCCCCGGTCAGGTCATTCTGTGAAACACAAATGCCTACTTGGCACCAAGAGCGCCCTTTTCTGAAGCATCTGTCATTGCTGAAGAGCAAGCAGGCAGAGCGGGAAGATGTGGTGCTTGCCCTGGCCTTTTCTTCCTCCCAGCTGGGAGAGGGCCCTCTGCACATGGCCTGCACCTTCCACAAAGCCCCATTTCCCGCATGACAGCTGTCAGAGGCCACTCGGTTCTGTGAATTCCTAGCAGGTACCACGGCAGCAGAGCAGATCGGTTCAGATCATCCGAGAATGCTGTCTGCTCTGGACCCACGAAGTGAGCCACCTGCACACATCAGGTCAGAGTCTGAACTCAGAGTCATTACGGCTTAAATTCCAAGTGATCCAGTCCACGTTTTTGGAACCCTACAAAACTCCATGCCCCAAACCTAGAATTCCCATACTGGTGAATTAGCTTGCAAATGCAAGCTTCTTTAGGTGCTAAATAGTGGGCATGGCTTTTTAAATTTTTATTCTGTAACAACCACAAAAGCCCACACCATAAAACTATCTAATGGAATTCGACCAAAGAGCATTTATAGAACAAAACACCCACACCATGTCACCAATGAGCGGCGTAGAGCACAAAAGCAAGGAATAAGCCACGGTCGATGCTGAGCTCAATGGTCTGAACTCTCCTGGCAGCTGACCAGCAGACTTACAGCCCGGCCTCAACCGAACTCACTAATCAGGACCCAGCCCATGCGCGAGCTGCTCTGTGCCCACACGGGGCAGCCCAACACCCAGCAGTCTTGGCCAGGCCCACTTTAAATACTCAAATGGGCACCATCCTTGGATATGGGCCTTGTATGCTTAAAAAACAAAACAAAACAAAACAAAACGAACCTCCAACACCCCTTCTCTCAGCTGATAGCCCCCCCTCCCTGGGGAAAAAGAAGGAACCAGAAGAGAACTTCATCCACCCAACACCAATTCAAGCAACTGACCAACACCTTCTGTGCCCAAACTGCCTTCCTTGCTGCTGTGAAGGAGGTGGCCACTTCTCCTGCTCTCGGGGTCCTACTCCCCTTGCCTCAAAGTCTGCAATCAGACCCCTGTCACCTGTGCTATTTGTGCAGTCTCTACAAGATCAGACCCCATAGCAAACAAACATGTTCTAGAATCTTCTATCTGACAAACTCCTCTTAATGCCAATGTCCCTACAGCTACCTGGTTTCTCTGTTCCCTCTTGCTTCCTCTAAAGTCATCTACTCCCTCGCTTCCCCTTCTCTCCAGCTGGGATGGTCCCTGAGCTCTAAGGCAGCTGCTTTCCCTCTAGTCACCACTGCCAGCAAGTCCACTGGCCATTTGTTTGTCTTAGCTTACCTGCTCTCCCACAGCCACAGATTCCCCCTTTTACCATTTTTTTTCCTTGAGAGAGAGAGAGTACATGCACACAGGCAGAGATGGGGGCAGCGGCAAAAGGAGATGGGGAGAGGGAGAGAATCTCAAGCAGACTCCAAGCTTAGCACAGAGCCCAATGCAGAGTGGGATTCCACGATCCCAAGATCATAACCTGAGCCGAAATCAAGAGTTGGACGCTCAACCCACTGAGCCACCCAGGCACCCCCCACCTTCCTGAAACACTCGTTAAACTTAGCTTCGGATACCTCCCCCCACTTTCTCCTTCAGCTCAAGGCCACTCCCATTTCTAACCTACCCCTCTGGAGGCTGGAGAGTCCAGGATGCACCCTCTTCTCAGCTTTCAGCCCCGGTTTTCAATAACTTTAAAAATGTACTCATTCACTGAACCCAACTATTTAGTACTCTACGTGGTAAATGTTATTAAGTGTTGGGGTTACAGCTCTGAAGAAAACAAAGTCCTTGACCCAGGCAGCATATTCTGCTGAGACCACACTCCCAGGTGTCCATCTCCACCCCAGACTCGCCCTGGAGGACCAGACTCCTGTAGGTAACCACTCGTCCCATGTTCCCATCAGGTATCTGACAACACGTCGCACTGTGCCAGAGCATTCCCGCTGTCCTCCCCTCCAGACTTGTCCCTCCTCCAGCGATTCTTCTCAGCAAACAGCACCTCCACCTTCTAGTTTCTCACCCGGACTCTCAAGCCAAAACCCACGAATTACCCTCAATTCTTCTGGTTCACTCATCTTCCAATCCAACCTGTCAGTTCGACCCCCAAACACGCCTGGCCTCCGCCACTTCTGTCCGTCTTCACCACTTTCTCACAGCCTGCACCCCGTCTCAGGCACCCTCCTCCCTGCCTTCACTCTCAGGCCACCGCCGTCCACGGTCTACATGGTAGTCACAGTTCCTTAACACCTTCCTCCAAGTGGACGGGAAGCAAACAGAGGCCCCACCCAACCTCACTGCCCCACCGGGAGCCTCGCCAGCCTTCTTCTCCTTCAAACCACCAATTCACTTCTGCCTCAGGCCCTGTGCTCACCGCACCTGCTGCTAGGAAACACTTTTTTCCCACAGGAATGCGTGCACGGCCAGTCCACTCTGATGACTCAGGGACCAGTTTGAAAGGCCACCCCTCAGAAGCCCGACCACTCAGTCCACTACAAGTTCAGTGTTTCCTTTTCTTTGCAGCACCTAGCACGATCTGAAAAGTTGTCATTTTAATTTCTTGTTGCCTATTTCTACTCATCAGAAAATAAGCGTCGTGGCTTGTCTTGTTCACTGCAGGTGGTAAATACATGATTTTCTTTTTTAAGATCTCCCAGTCAGTAACTCCCCCTTCCACAGCCTCCACGGCTCTGTCAGCCCCACAGTCACATTCCTCCCTCAGAGACCAGCCCATAATTGGAGTCTGCCCACCTGTAACCAGTTCCTAAAAACATCATTTTACTTTTTACAAATTCCAAGAGGCCCCCAGGCTGCCGGATTCCTGATTCCTTGATGAACAAGTCCATGTGCACCTCTGCCTCTTTATACTCAAGCACAAACAAGGCCAAGCACACACCAGGTGTGCACCACACAGTGTGGGAGTAAGCGTGGGACTGCGTGGCCTTTCAGGGATGCCAGCCGTTTCAGTGTCAATCAGAACAAACCTCTTGGAGGCAGGGGCACACGTGCTCAGAGCCACAGAAAGAGGTACCAGGGCCCGTGTAAGGACTTGTCACTAACTGTAACCACAAACCCACACCCCTCCTCTGCCTCACTCACCGGGGTCTGTCTCAGATAAACAGGAACAAACCCAGCTCGTTTCCAGAACCTGCGAAGATACAAAATGAGCAGGTCACTGCGTGCCCCTTCGGAGAGCAGCTGATACGTGAAGACAGGCAGGGTACTCAGTGGATGGCTGACAAACACACTGGCTGGAAGACACACACAACCCACAGAACACTCACTCTCGGGACACCAAGGCCACGGGGTGACACAAGGAAGGAAGGATAGGCAAACCCTTACTTGAGGAGCCGGGGGGTCAAGCCGTAGGACACACCCAGGTAGTCCAAGTGCTCGGCAGGCCTCTCGTTCAGTTTGAGGAGTAAGGGAGGCAGGTCCTTCCGAGGAGTGACGACCTCTTCCAACAAGCTGACGGCCTGGAGGATGCCAGGAAGAGAACACAGTCCACCCAGCAGAGGAAGAGGAAGCTCAGTGACATTCCCGAGCACCCTCACCGTGCCAGGCTCGGACCGAAACACAGCAAAAACTGGGACAGGTTTGTTGTTTGTTCCCTGGTTTTTAAAATTCAGGCAACCACTGGGTCCAGCAATCGTTCCCCAGCACACCCAACACCTGGACACGCATGAAATCACACCGCTCCACACCTCAAACTCAGGAAAACAGCTACACGGTTTTAAAATGCCTTAGCACTGAGGAAGAGACGGAGACAGGGTCCTGAAGATCCAGCTCTGTCGCCAGGTGGCCCTGTGACTTGGGCAGGACCAACCTCTAAGCCAGCTCTTAATCACAAGCCCCTTGCCTGCCTCCCAAACGGGCAGACTGTGAAACTCAAGTCAACGTGTATGAAAAACTGTTGCAGTTCACGGCATTCATGATGTCACCAAGAGAGACACAACTTCCCGGAGTCTGGGCTCAGTGACCCGAGGAGGAGGCCGACGAGTGCGGAGATGAAGCGGACACGGATCTCGGGGGCCCTCCCCGCCCTCTGACTCAGGAGGCCTGTGTCAAGGCTCGGGGCATTTTTAACAAGTTTCCAGGTGATGCTGCTGAGGCTGATCTGAGGCTCTCCATTCAAGCGCCTCCAGAAGCCGCTGCTTCTCCAAAACAGAGGAAATCTGCGAGTGCTCAGAGAGCCCAGAGCGCTGAACAGTTCTTGCTGCTCCCGAAGACCCAGAGGCCCATCCTCCCGGCATCCAGGCATTCGGCCAGAAGAGGCTTACCTCGCTGCTGACCGTGTGAATTTCTTGTGACTTCTCCAGGACCTTTTCCTCCAGGCAAGGGAACCTGCCTTCGAAGTACATCTGCAGCAGCTGCAGAGCTCGGCTGCCGTAGCCCATCTGGGAGCCAACACGGAGGGAAACAGACAAGAGATCAAGAAAGGTTCTCAATCTGTCGGAAGCACCTCTACGCCCCTGTACTGCTTCCAGAAAGCCTTCGTTCTGAGTCAAACTACACTTGGCAGAGAACCAATAAAATCCCTCCGTGAGGTCAAAGCAGAGGCCCTAAGAGCGAGCACCCTATGACTCCCACTCTCACACCATCTAGCCTGAGCAGCAGGAGGGCTGGGCCCCAGATCAGCAAGCCCCAAACGGACGTCTCCACAGCGGACTCCTCAGTGGGGATTTCGAAGAGACAGGAGCTAACTGTGGAAAGTAGGTCAGGTTCACGGGTGCCCTGTCTTCACAGAAGAAAAGCGAGCATATACAATCACCCTGTCCACCTGCCAATCCCTGGCCCCAGCCAAACTCTCCACAGCAGAGAAGTACCTGGAACTGCCTACTCCTTGACTAGCCATCCACCCAAACAGCCACATACACCCGGCCCAGGGAGCCGCCAGAAGCACAGCTGCAGCTAATGAAGCCCAGCAGGTCTGAGAGGCCTGAGGACGAGTTACCCCCTGATAATCCGGGTGAACAGCAATGCGAACAACCCTTCCACCGGAGAGGCCGCCGAAGTCTGGGTCTTGGAACTGTGTGGGAGACACAAGCCAGGAAGTGAGCCACAAAAACCTCGTCCAGCCCCGCCGTCCTCAATCACTCAGCCACATCAGGGAAAGGGCGCCACCTGTTCGGACACCGTCCACGGAATCAGGTCCCCCGAAGCCTTCTTGCCTCGAGACAGGCTGTTCAAGATGGACTGGCGAGAGATCTCCCCCTCAAGGCACACCTGCGGGGGAAGCAGGACAGTGCAGACAGGCCAGAAGCAGGAGTGAGCCCATTCACAGAACATCATCAATGTTCTTCTGCAGCTACCCTGACAAGGCCAGCTCTTTCCTAACATTATGATCTTATGTATATGAAAAGGAAAAATAACATAGAAACGCATTAGTAGGGGCGCCGGGGTGGCTCAGTCGGTTAAGCGTCTGCCTTTGGCTCAGGTCAGGATCCCAGAGTCCCGGGATCGACGCCCACACTGGGCTCCCTGCTCAGCGGGGAATCTGCTTGTCCCTCTCCCTCCCCTGCATGTGTGGGTGTGCGCACACTCTCTAATAAAATCTTAAAAAAAAAAAAAGAAAAAAATGTGTAAGTACATGCCAGGCATTAAAAACATTATTGTTTCCAAGCCTTTTCTTCTAATTTTAGAAGTACAAGTATTGCTTTTATAATAAAGGAGGAAAACAAACAAAAAAGTTCTGTTTTAGGAAAAACCCTAGGTCAAAATACGAGTGGCCAGTTCCGACCTTCACCTCTCCTCCAACAGTGAGGATCTGGGTTTCTGGCAGGGGTAGTTTCCTTCCCTGCACCCTAATCACCCGCCTCAAATCACCCAGCCACTTGGCTCCACCCCGGGAATCAACACCTCCCCCGACACACCCCAGCTACTGAGTCATTAACACTTGATTCCTAAGTGTGTCCCCAAATAACGGCCACCATACCTGGATGACAGCAAGCACTTCCGGCAGGGCATTCTGGGTGGGGGGCACTGGGGGCAGGAGGCAGAAGAGATGGTGAGCAGGTGCATCGGAAAGCATCTGGAGATCATTGGGAGAGTTCTGTGGGGGCATAAACAGAGTCCGTGAGAACCACTCCTCTTATTCTTTACTCGAGAGGCCACTCTGGAGTCATGGGCTGACTGGAGTACCGCCCTCGCCCAAGCCAGGCTGTGAGCTGAACCCCGGCTAAGCGCTTTTCTAGTATGTTGGCCGGCCAGCCCGAGACCCTGCAAAATGGCCTAGGAGGGACTTTGCCTCAAATGTTTGCTGTCATCGTTACACAAGTGCTGAGGCTACGGAGGAGGGCAGAGGACTGCTTCGTCAGCACTGTGGATTTCACCACTGGGAAGGGAACTTTTTCCTGAGAAGAGGCTGCTACTTCAACAAAACCTATCACCACTTCTAACACCGAACTCTTCAGCCTTCCTTTGAAGGGTGTTCGTAACAATGCCACCTAGAGCCTCACAAAGTGTCCTTCCAAAGATGCCCTTCACTCTGGAAGACTTTCAAATATACTAAATTCTCATTTGGTGCTCCTTAAATACAGCCCAGAGGTACAACAGTGGCCTCGGTCAGTCAGTACCACCAGGTAACCGCTGCTATGCCATCTGAGCCCATCTGTGTAGCAGACAAGTGAGAAACACAAGACCCTATTTTAAAAGCGGCAAAGCTCTCCGTTCTCCCCAGCTACGAGCAGGAATTCCACACTCTGCGCAGCTGGAAGCCCAAGACGGGTCTGAACAATGGACAATGCAATCTCTCCAGCAGTATCAGTGCAGAACATCTAAGTCCCAGGACAATGGTCACCTGGGCCATCAGGAAGTAAAAGATATGAAAAGCCAAAAAAGGGACCATGAACGCTAGAGTGCACCCGAGGGCTGGCTGGCTGCAGTTACCTTGTAGTGAGAAGCCACATAGAGGGCCATAAGCCTTTGCAGGAAAACTTCAGAGGCCTTGTGGTAGCAAAAGAGGGTATCTCTATTAACATAGTAGCTGGGTCTGGAGTTAAGCAACCAAAACAAAGCGGAGAGCCAAAACAGGACTGCTTCCAGAAGGGACGTGGATACACAGATCGCCCCCAGCAGAAGGAGGAGCCCCACGTCCCTCAGAGAAACCCCATATTGTAGGGAAGGAACAGCAAGGAAATGGAGAACATTCAACTTTCCCCTCTCCCTGGAGCAGCAGCCTATGGAACAAAGGGCCGAGGCCTTCTGTTCAGTGCCTTCACCGCCCCCTCCCTTCACAGGGCGCAGGCGCCGGGAGGATACAGCTCGCAGGCCTCGGGCAGGGGGCAGCCCGAGACTATCCGGGTGATGTTGAGGCAATCCAGGCACAGCAGGTCGTTCAGCCACTTCTCCACGGCGTCTCCGGGGGCATATCGGATGGACTCCTGCAGGGAGACCTCATGCAGGGTTCGCGCTGCTCCCCGAAACACACATACACGATGAGAAGAATTGTTAGATACGTTTTGTCAAAAAGAGCAAGGCAAATGTTCTACTCCCTCTGTCACAGGCCCAGGTAAATATGGTTGGAGAATTCAAACTGAGTGGTTTTAAACTGTTCTGGGGGATGTTCAATTTGCCGTGACACTGATCCCACAGGGATCCCACTAAGTCAGTGCGACCATGCCCTGAGGCGGTGACAAACCAGGGCCCAATCCAGAAGGCCTGGGTCAGGCTCCCAACAGGTCACTGGCCTACTGGTCCCTGGGGAAAGCAACTCCACTTTCTGGGGACCCAGCCTCTGTGCCCCATGGCTGGCCAGGCTGGTATGAGGAGATGATCCTGCAACATGGTCTGCGGGGACCTGGCGTGGACAGGCCCGTCAAGAGCTCTGGGGGTACCTGAGGCCAGTCTGGCTGTCGCTGTGGCCTTGTTCTCTGCGGTGGTGCTGATCTGGCTCTGGGCGCTCTGCTGACGGAGCTGCTGGATCAGCTTGAGGGACAGGGACCGGCCGGTGCCCTCATAGCTAGGAGCAAAAGCAAAGGCCATCAGGCAGGACGTCCGAAATCCACCCCCTAGGAGAGGATGGAGAGCTCCCTTCCTCACCCTGCTGCCGTCTGGACTCCCCACAGAGGGTGTACACGCCCACAGGAGGCAAGGCAGCAGGGTGCCTCAGCTGGGGGCCGGTGGGCCCGGGGTTCAAGTCTGGCGTGACTACTTAGCACCTCTGGGCAAAGAACTCACCCGCTTTAAGCCTCACACCTCACGGGACGATGCTGTGAACCAAAAAGAAAATAAGGACTGGAAAGAGGAGGCGAATACAGCCTTCAGCATAACAAACTGGACAGTGTTCAGGGTCAGTGAGCGAGGTGCCACTGCAGATGCACCTGAAGGAAGGCAGAGAGTGCTTCCGGTTTGGAAAATCAAGACTGAATAACCCACCACCTCAGTAATTCCTCTCAGCCCTACTTCCACTGAGAAGGTGACAAAGTAACTAACAAAGATTTTGGGAAAAAAAAAGAAATTGTCTTTACTCTGGTCAGCAAACGGACTCTTCTCATTTGTATTTCCTCCTTCAGTCACAGCATAGGTTGGGGGTGGGGGCGGAGCGGGAGATAGACTGATCAGTGGGTCTTCTTTTTTGTTCAGTATTACATCACCTCACGGTATGTACTATGATAATATTTATAGACCATATAAATACTTCCTCTTACTCGAATACTATTTTTAAAGAATGATCAAAAAATCGGAACGTTGAGGTATTTTATTCTCCTTCCCAGCCACTCGTAACAAAGTTTTCTCAAAAGAATTCCATTTACTTATTTAAAAAAGAAGAAAAACAAGTAAGCACAAACAACAAAACAATTTCTGGTGCTTCAAAGGACATTATCAAGTGGGGGAAAAAATAGAAGAAAATTTTTGTAAATCATGTAAGGCACCGGTACCTGGAATACATGAGGAAAACTTACAACTCAGTAATAAAAAGACAAATACGCCAAATAGAAAAATGAGCAGGGGATCTAAATAGCTATTTCTCCAAAAATCACAAACCGTGGATAAGCACATGATAAGATGCCCCACCCACATCGTCAGCCATTAGGGAAATGCAAATGAAGACCATAACGAGACACGACTTCACACTCACTAGGATGGCTATAATCAAAAAGACATGTAACACACATGCTGGCAAGGACATGGAAAACTTGGAAATCTCATACGCTGCGGGTGGGAATTTAAATTGGTGCAGCTGCTTTAAAAAACAATCTGGTGGATCCTCAAGCAACTAAATGTGAAGCTACTATCTGACCCAGGAATTTCACTCCTAGGTATAGACCCAAGAGCACTGAAAGCATGTCCACACAGAAAACCTTCCCAGAAGCATTATTCCTAACAGCCAAAAGACAGAAACAACCCCAATGTCCATCAACAACAAGTAAATGGAAAAATAAAATGTGTATAAACATTCAATGGAATATTATTTGATCATTAAAAGGAAGGAAATCCCAACACAAGACACACGGATGAACCTTGAAAACATGGTAAGTGAAAGAAGCCAGTCACAAAAGACCCCACATTGTTTGATTCCATTTACATGAATTGTCTAGAACAGGCAAATCTATAGAGACAGTAGACTAGTATTCCCCAAAGCAGGGGGATTAGAGGGTGATAGATAAAGAGTATGGTTTTTCTTTTGGGGGTGATGAAAATGCAAAATTGATTGTGGGGCTGGTTGCACAATTCTGTGCAGATACTAAAAAGCACAGAATTACACATTCGAAGTGGATAAACTGCTTAGTATATGAATTATATCTCAATAAAACTGTTCGCAAAAAAAGTAAAATCCATGTTTTAAAATATTTTCAGTATAGTAAAGCAGACACAATAATATATCTGTTAACAGAGGATTATCTCTTCAAGATGTGATTCACACAAAGAAATCTTTCCAATATTGAAGATAGATACTTACTGATCTGGAAAGAGCTCACAATATATTGTTACATAAAAAAGCAAACTAAAAACAATATGTAAACGATGTTCACATTCTTGTTCAAAATAAAAAAGTAAAGTAAATGTGTAGAAAATGTGTAACAAAATTCGAACAGAAGCTACTTCTCAGTGGTGATACTATTGGTGACTTTTCTTTTTGCTTGCCTGTTTTTCCTAATGGTTCCACAGCCAAGCATGAACTAAATGTTTCAAGTATCTAAACAAAGCCCTTGAGCCACTGTAAGACTGCTGTCTTGGGGCACCAGGGGGGCTCAGTTGGTTAAACATCTGACTCTTGGTTTTGGCTCAGGTCACGATCTCTGGGTTGTGGGATCAATTCCTGAGTCAGGCTCCACGCTCAGGGGGAAGTCCGCTAGGGATCCTCTCCCCACCGCCCCTTCCCCTACCTTGCTCTCAAATAAACAAATGTTTACAAAAAAAAGACTGCTATCTAATACTAATTTGATAGCTGCTGTCACACTGTATTTTCGCATGGCTCTAAGAGTGACATCAGTACTGCTGGGTGCTCTCTGAAAACTAATCAGGTCTAGAGACAAGATGATACCCTCACCACTTGAGTTATGAAATTCTTCAGTCTCGTGCTACCCATTTTACCATGAAACCAGAGGTGGGTGCCACTCGTTAATGAGAGCCTGACTCCAATGCGCCAGGAGAGACCAAAGCAGCTCCTATGACTCTGGCTTCGAGAAGCAGACCACCTACCCCAACCCAGGCATGTTCACTTATGCCCGCTAATGGTCAAGAACCTACAACGGGAGCAATGACTCCCACCCTAGTGCTTACCCGTTGATGGTGGATGCCATGAACACAAGGTAGGGGCCCAGGAGGCTTTTCACCAGGGGCAGGGGGATGGCAGCGGCTTCATCAATCACAACAAGCTCGGCCTGACCCAGTTTCACAGCATCTGCAGGGTGTATATACTGTGGGGAAGAAAAGTTTATGTTATTACCCGGCCACCCCGGGACCACAGCTGTGATCCCTGCAAAGCCTCAGAAAGACCCCTCTCTGTCCTATTTCCCACTTCCCAGTTCTTTTCTCATTCCTCCTTTCCACTTTTTCTTGGCAGGACAAAACAGAATGGGCTTGAAGCCCAACACCTGGGTTCGGAAGTTCAACCACTGATTACGTGCCCCCGGACGGGTCACTCAGCCTCGCAGCCTCAGACTCCTGTCCGGTAAAGTGGAGGAAATGCCCATCTGATGGCTGCTTGGGAGAAACATCGGGGAAATCTGGAAAAATGCCCTGGCTGGTGCCTGGCCTAGTACTGATAGGTGGGGCTCCCCCTTCCTTTCTTCATCTTCCCATGCTTCTCCCCAGCCTCGCCCTGGCCAGGGAGCCAGAGGCACAGCCTCGTCCCAGCAGCATGTCTCAAGCACCTCCTACACACTGATCATCCCACCGCTGCTGGGACGATCAGGTGTCTCAAGCACCTCCTATACACTGGGTCCTGGGCTACCTGCGTGGACACCGTCATCATTAAGGCCACATCTCCCAGCCCTGAAGAGGAAGCTTCTAAGACTCGAAGATGCCTTCCTAATACATACACACTCACATATCCTTAACTGTATGACAAGCTTGGCTACCTAACACCACAAAGTTGCCCTAAGTTTGGCGTCCTTACGCATGCAAACCACCCCTTCGGTTTCTTCAGGGCCTCCTGCTATTTTTAAAGTTTGGGCAAGGCCACGAAGAGGTATTTTACAGGAGGGAAAACCTGAACTAACATAAAGACACGCAACCTCGCTAGTAAGCAGCACAATGCCAAAGACGGCGAGGAGGTCCCATTTCACTCGTGGACACGGAAAATAGATAGCCATAAAACACCCTGTGTTGGTAAGAACTTGAAGAAAACAAAAATTTAAAAAAAAATGCTGGTGGGAAGGTAAACTGGTCCACTTTTTTAAAGGAGAATCTGGCAAAAACAAAGAAAAGGGGGAAATCTGTGCATACCCTAAATCGAATAGTTCCATTCCTAGAAACATAAACAAACAGTAATATAAACATAAAATGCTTGAAAATCAACCAGAGCTGCAAGCTTTTATCTGGACGAATCTTGAAAACAAATGCTGAGTAACAAGGCAGGCCACAAAAAGGACAAGTACAGTAATGTTATCGTTCATGGATACCTAATTACTTAGTAAAATACAAACACAGGAAATGAAAGGAAACACACCAACCCAGAGCTGAGTTACCTATGGGGAGTGGCAGGAGGAATGGGATGGGGAGGGACCCAAGACGGGCTTCGATTTTGTCTCTGATGCTTTACATCTTTAGACAAAAATAAAAGTGACTTTAAAATATGAAATAAACATAGCAAACAACAAAGTGTCAATATTTCTTAGGCTTATGTGCTTGGATTCTGAGTATAACCTTGACCTCCGTACTTTTCTCAAGTATTTCTTCACAAGTAAGATCATCTAACTGCTTTGCTGGAAGTGGAATGATGGGTCAGGGACAGAGCAGCCCCACTCAACTCTAACAGCAAACACACACCCTCAGTAGGGCCCCATGTCTTGTACTCTTTAAGGGGAAAAAACTAAACAAGCACCTCATAAAAACAGCAGAAAGCAGCCCCCCGGAGAGGCGTAGCCGACTTTAATCTAATATTCGTCTTTTTCTCAATTTCCAGCAAGGAGAAGGAGGCCTCAAAGGGACCCAAATGGAGCCTCATAAAGTCAGGTCACCTCTTCTGTGTTTAAACTCCAGCCTGGAGACAAAGGGACTCTGGCAATACAAGCCGGTCTCTGATTACACATCCAAAGGGCAAAGGGCCAAGCCTGGGCATTTCAAGGAAAGGTTTCCTTTCTCTGGTTTGTGTATTTTTTTTTGAGTTTTAACAGGTCTCTGTATTCTCACTGCCTGTCGCCTGCCCTCCACCCCACCCCACCATCGGACTTCCTCCCTTTCAGAGAGGCTGAGGGAATCTGGCAAAAATGGGAAGAAATGTACAGAACAAAAGGATTCTAGAAAGAGATCTAGCAGGAAAAAATGAAGATCCTTAGGTAAAAGGCAGAGACACTTACTTTTATTTACAATCTGAACCTTTGATGAAAGGTATAGCTCCCTGACGGGCGGATACATATGCCTTCACGGGCAGAAAGGTCATAAACTGCCAAGTTTACCTGGCCCACTTCCCACCCCAAGACCGAAAATACTCGATGAGCCTCCTCTGCTGGGAGCCCAGGGGCCTCCATCCCTTCTGCAAGCCTGTCACACTGATGCTTCCCTACAACTGAACAAAACTGCAGCCTTTGGACATGTGCGCACCATTCAGGCTTCCAGAGCACTGGAGGTTTATGGAGCTTTCAGGAAAAGTTTAAAATGGAAAATAGGGCACTAGCTAAACCACAAAGATTCAGAGTACATCTTCCAAAGTTCTCTTTCTCTTTTAAATGGTGAGGCTGTTGTTCTAGTTACAGATGCACCATCTCAAAACCTACCGTAACTAAGGAAAATCAGACCTGGTGTCAGACAGTGAGTGTAGTTCTTCTAGCTGGTTCACAGTCACGATCCCACTTACTCAATTTCCAAGGGATAAAACGATAACCTTCCGACCTGGCTACATACGTTTGCGAGTTTGCTTCCAGGTTTTCCTTGACAAGAGCCTGAAAATCTGGATCAGGTTTATCATAGAGCAGCAACACGTACACAAGACACCCAATTACACATGACATAATGACCTAAAATGGCTGTATTTAGATACAAAAGAACACTGGCCTCACACAGCAGGGTTTTAGAACAAGCCTCACCTGAATGGTCTGCCTGTGTTCTCGGAATACATTCACTCTGATCACGGCTTTGTTAAATTCAGGATTGAGAGACTGAATGATCTCATAATCCAGGTGCTCCTAATGGAGAGAGTCAAATCAAGGACAAACTTTAGAAACTAAAATTAAAGTAAGCAGGCATTCCGAAGACTTCACCTAGACTTAAGCCCAGCCCGGAACCAAAGTAAATCCTTATCCTCATTTCCTACCTGATACTGCAGAGCGTCAAATCCTTTGAAGACAAATTCAAACAGAGTGTGGAGGTTATCAGGGCTTGGGGAGGTAACAAAGATATTGGAGTACCTATTGAACAAGAGAAAAGGACAATTTTTTTAAGGAATCAGGACATCCAAAAGGGACGTGTAGGGAATGTAAGAGGAAAGAAGAGATTGTTGTTTGCCCTGTCCCACAGGTGATTACCAAAGATAACGGCAGGAAAAAGGAAAAAAAAAAAAAAGAACACTTTCTAGGGAGGAAAAGTGAAACTCCAGATCCGCATACATTTTTGTCCCAAACTAAGGAGAACACATGAACAGTGAGAAGGCGGTGCGTCCCGGCAGCCCGCTCCTGACATCTGTGAAGGTGCGCTACCGAGAGGTGTGCACTGCTTCCCGAGCCTGTGTCCTGGGACCAGAGGGTGGCCTCACTCATCGCTAGCTGTGCTAAGAGCGTTTCAGACCGTGAGGCCCAACAGCTCAATGGGAGCTCAGGCCAAGACCGCAGCCAACCTGCAGGGGGCCTGGCTGAGTGTAGAGTGCCAAAGGCAAAGGTGCTGACCAGCCCCACTGGAGCATCGGGAATGACAGACCAGAAGTCAGGGGCTGCCCTCGGCCCCAGCACTAACAGCACTGACCTCCTGGGGAATCGTGAGTGACTCACTGAAACTCTCTGGGCCTAGGTTTATCCCGCCGTGAAATGCTTACAGAGCTACTAGGAGCACCAAGGAAGACCACGCATATGAGGACATGGTAAATTCTAGGTCCATTATTTCTGCCTGTGAAGCAGGAAGTACACGCTCTTCTGGCAACTGCATAAACCTCCCGCCCAGGGCAAAAGAACAGAAAGGAACATCACACTCAAAGACAGCTCCTCAAGAGCAAACAAGCTGTTCAACTGAGCAAAACCATTAAAATGTCAAATGTGTACTTTCTGCAGTCAGCAAAGATAGTCACATACATTCCCATCTCCTGAAGAGTTTTAAAGTTTCTTACTCTTGTTTCTTTCCTCTTGTACATCTGTCCCACTTTGTCTGTGTGTTCAACTTTAAATAGTGATCACAAAGGTCCTGGTGTATGTGTCCACATGCCTGCATATGTGTGCACCACCAGGGGAGGGGGAAACAGTGTCGCTGCGTCTAGACAGGAACCCACAACCTAGAGAAATCACAGAGGGGCTCACACAGCCCCAGGGACAGTCTCCCAGTCCCTTGACTCCTATTCCGCACACTTATTCCTCAGAGCTCAGACTTCCCAAAGCGGGGGAATGAGAGCTCCTTACCCAAAAGCCACTGCCCCAGCAATAGCCAATCCCAGAGCTGCAGACTTCCCCCTTCCTCGGGCAGCTGTAAGCGCGACAGTACTCCTCAGGGTCTTTTCAGAGATGCCCTCGATGAACTTCAAGACAGCTTTGGCCTGTGAAAAGAGAACCCTATTAGGCGAGCTGGGAGAAAGACCAAGTTTCAGCCACCTACCGCCATTACTGTGGGGAAGTCGGGGCTAAATCAAAGGGGGCCTGTTCCAGCAGGCCAGGAGGCAAAGCTCAGCACTTGGGCTTCTCACTGCCTGGTCATCTCCTCTCAGTCTCAGCGCCTGAAATGCCACTTGGATGCTGGGAACACCCGCTTCTAGACCTCTTCCCTACCCATCAAACTCCTGTATACATGCAACTGCCCCTACATGTCTCCACTGGGATGTCTGCTGGGACTTCTCAAACTGACCTAAGGGGAACCCAGGGTGTTCCCCACCAACCTCCTCCATCTACAGTCTTCCCTCTCTCAGTTAACTGTCCCACTGTTCAGGCCAACAGCCTCTGCATTTTCTCCCTACCTCTGATTCACCGGCAAAGCCCATCAATGCTACCTTCAGAATATGTACCAATCCTACGATCCCTCACCTGTGTCCTCCTCTGCCATGCTGCTCAAAGCCCCCATGCAGTCTTCCCCCATCATTACAAGAGACTCCCAGTTGTCTTTCTGCTTCCGCCTTTGTTCCCCTACAGTCTAGACCCAACACAGCAGCCAAAGGGTAAATTTTAAAGTTGAGCCTGGGGATCCCTCCAACAGCTGTGCTGAGACTGGGCATGTGAAACCTACCGTGGGTGCCCACCTCTCAGACAATAAGTGCCAAGCCCTTCAGGGCCACGTGGCTCTGCCGCATGACCTCTGTCATCTCCCCCTATTCGCATCCGCTCACTCTGCTTCAACCAAGGCAGCCTCCTTGCTGGTCCCTGAGCACACCAGGTAGACTCCTACCTCAGAGCTCTGCCCTGGTGGCCCCTCGCCAGAAACACTCTCCCTCCAACGGCCCCAAGGTTCATTTCCCCAACTCCTTCAAGGCTTTGCTTAAGGATCACCTTCTAAACCAGGGCCCCCAGAACCACAGCCTCCGCCCACCTCCTACATTCCTGATCCCTCTGTGACACTGTGTGTTTCCCCATCGTACACAGCACCTTCTACTACACATCAGGATTGGCCCATTTCCTTGACTCAACGTCAGACTCACCCCACCAGAACACAAGCTCCACAAAGCAGGTGTGCCCCTCCTTTCTACTGCGGAGCCCAGTGCCTAGGGTCATGTCTAGCACCTAGGAGAGCAAGAGTCCAGAGGCACTGAATGAGAGGAGGAACCACAACACTACTTGGGGGCCAAACTCTACTCCTCGCCTGGAATCTGCCCAGGAAAAGGCCGAAACTGGGAAGAAGGCCAAATGGTCCAGCCTGGCCTGCCTGGTCCTAAAGAAGCTGCCTGACACACCCAGGCAGTGACACTGAAGAAGACATTGAGGAGACACAAGCCCAGGCAGATGGAAAGGAAGGAAGAGAAAGCGCTTCAAGAAGCCAGAGTCTCTCCAGATGGAAACACTCAGAGATCCAGGTCCTACTCTTCTTAATGGCTTTTGCTGAGCGCTGTATTTTGTTTGTTTGTTGCTTCCTGCTGAGAAGTTCTAAATTCTGACAAAACATAACCAGGAAAAATCTAACATAACAGAAGGGTAAGATATCTGGACTAAAACTGCATTCTAAGGGCGCCTGGGTGGCTCAGTTAGTTGAACGTCTGACTCTTGGTTTTAGCTCAAGTCACGGTCTCACGGATCATGGGATGGAGACCCACGTTGGGCTCCCTGCTCAGCAGGAAGTCCGATTGAAGATTCTCTCCCTCTGCCCCTCCCCTGCACAGATGTGTGTGCTCTCTCTCTCAAATAAATAAATCTTTTGGGGCACCTGGGTGGCTCAGTGGGTTAAGCCTCTGCCTTCAGCTCAGGTCATGAACTTAGTGTCCTGGGATTGAGCCCCGCATCGGGCTCTCTGCTCAGCAGGGAGCCTGCTTCCCCCGCCCCCCGCCCCGCCTTGCCTGCCTCTCTGCCTACTCGTGATTTCTGTCATATTAATAAATAAAATCTTTAAAAAAAATAAAAAATCTTTTTAGAAAATACATCCTAAAACAATATGCTACAATGAAAAACCAACCCCCGAAATAATTTACAAAACAAACAAACCCAGATGCCCAGTAATTATATGAAAAAAGTACCTGCTTTTCTCATAATTAAAGCAACACAAATCAAAACAGTGATTCTGTGTCCCTGTAACACAGGACTAGTAGACTTAGAAGTTTAACCATAGCCAGTGCTGGCAAGGTGTAGGAAAAAAACACGTTTTTCACACTGTTGCTGGTTCCATGAACCAGTGCGATACCCGTTTTAATGTACACACACTCTAATCCAGCAATTCTTCTAGAAACTTATCCTAGAGACAGTGCATATCTGTAAAAAAGATCCTAACAGCATTGTCTATAATAGGAAAAAAGCTGGAATCAATTCAAATGCCTACTAGGGGACCACTTACACTGTACAGCATAATCCCTTCACATATTTGTAAAATCTCCATTTGTATACACAGGAAAAGTTTAAGAACACACAATAAACTGTTAATGGCAGTTGTCTCTGCAGAGGGGGACTGCCAAGTAGAAACACCATCTTCCATTTTTAAAGCACGCTCTTTCATACTTGGTGATGTTTTTCCTGTGTATTTTCTTACAACGCTCCTACTGTTTTTATACTTCTCCCTCTTCTGTCCTTTCTCCATCCTCTTGCTCATTTCCTCTCTCTGACAAAGGGGATGAGAAAGTGGCTCAAAGAAGCTGAGAGCCTGCAGCCTGGGCTGCACAGAGAGCTATGTGGCCAATAATTCTATTTCTAGAAGAAGCAGGGAAATCAGCCTGCTGGGCCTCCACCCTAAGTGGGAGGTGTCACTGCAGCTGTTTTCCATCATGAGGGCAGAGCCCAGTGCCAAGAGGCCTGGACTGTTCCTCTGGCTCAGGCTGGACCAGAACCCTGAACACACCTGACAGCGTGAAGCCCTCTGGGCACAGTCAGGTCCCGCACAGCCCAGGAACCACTAGAGAAGCTGAGGGTACCAGCCCTGATCACCTTGGTGAGCATAGAAATGCGTCCTGGAAGCTCCCTCCCAGCCCACCTAGCCACACCACAGCACAGGGCCCCATCAGACCTCACTCTGGAACCAGGGCACAAGGGGCCTCAGGCTCTCCTCTCACTTCTACACAAAGCGGAAGCAAAATCTTTGTCATTAAAACTTAACTAAAATGGAAGAATACAGATATATCACTCTCTTTTGGAAAAAGTGCTGGGGAGGTTCCTCTTTAAATTCAATCCATCTCCCCCAGCACAGCCCCAGACCCTCTACTCCCAGAACTGATGACGTGGGGTGGAGGGGGAGGTAATGCCTGGACCTGTTATGAACGCAGATGACAGAGACTAGCCCTGATGTTCCTGCACAAGTTAAAGCAAGAGAAAAGGTCCCTTCCCCAGGAGGATCCAAGTCCTGGTTTGTCTTTACTTGTCCAAGTGTGGCTTCTGTAGCTTTCTGCACGTTCTATTTTCCCCTGCACTGTCCATCCTGGCGTGGGGAAGCTCGGAATGCCACACTCACCTGGTCAAGGGTCCTGCAGCAATCCACCAACACGCCCACCGGCTGGGTGTCCTGTAGGCTCTCCTTCAACTCCTTCAGCTCTAGGTCAGAAGCACCAAGACTCTCCTCCTGCCAGAGAGGAGAGGAGAAGGTTTGCCACTGCCACGGGAGGGTCCCCACAGAAAACACAGCCTCGGCCTGACTCCTGGCCGGCCGGCTGACTCACCGGGGTCCGGGGAGGTAGGGCCTCAATGCTGGCAGCGTGCGACGAGATGGGCAGGATGCTGAGCTGGTCATCGATGACGAGACACTTCTTACAAGAGGCCAGAGAGAGGATAAATCTGAGGAACAAAACGGTCATGAGGTGTTGGGGGGGGGAAAGAGGGCAGTGCCTACTTAACAAAGGTGTGGCTTTTCTTCAGGAAAGTCATTTGGCCCGCACAGCTCTAAGAAAGCAACAGAAAGCCAAAACACAGTTGGGAGGGCAGGGCAAGAGGATTCTGAGCTTCCTCTACAAGGCACCTGATCATGTTTTTTTTTGTTGTTTTTTTTTTAAGGTTTTATTTACTCATTTGAGAGAGAGTGAGCAAGACAGAAAAGGGAGTGGGAGAGGACAGAGGGCAAAGCAGCCTCCCTGTGGAGCAGGGAGCCCGGTGTGGGGCTCCATCCCAGGGCCCCAAGATCATGATCTGAGCAGAAGGCAGAAGCTTAACAGACTGAGCCGCCCAGGCGCCCCCGAACGTGCTTTATACAGCAAACAAGAACACCCAGAACTGTCTCGAGAGACAGGCTGTAAGCACTCCTACTGTGCACAACCGTCACTGCTCCCTGTGTCACACGGCTCTTTCCACACCCTCTCACGCTCACCCTTTAAAGACCGAGCTGTCTCAGGCCATCCTTCAGTGGGGAGCTCCAAATCCACCCCATAAATGATCACCAGTCACACAGGGAAACAAACCCATATATGAATGAATTTACCTTCTGCCACGAGGAAAAAATAAAGACAAGGGAGAAGACAGAAAAGCTCCCTTAAGAAATTAACACCAACGCTCCTGAGTGTAGGAAAACGTGTGTTTGGCTAGAGAATTCGAGGGCCTCCCCCCGCACAAGGATCGAGCCTCAGAGGCTCCTGTCACAGGCTTCCTTCTGTTCCATCTGGCAGCAGGCGGCCAGCTCCCAACCTAATCCGTCTACTGAGTGAAAGCACCAGAGACGATGAAAACTGGAAAGGCCCCAAGTTTCGAGGCCAGGCCTTCTAAACCTCAGCACAAGCAACATTTCAGACTCTTTGTTGTGGGGCTGTTCTGTTCACCTCAGGCTGGTCAGCAGCATCCCTGGCTTCTACTCACTAGACGCCGGCAGCGTCCCCCACCCGTCCAACAGTGTCCCCCAAGTCATGACAATAGAAATGTTTCCAGACACTGCCACATGTCCCCAGTGAGCAAGACTGATATAGACGAGGACCACTGACCCGGGCCACAGCTTCCTATGGAGTTTCACAGGCTGCTAACCAGTGCTCCCTAAGAAAGGGCTCTGTGGTCAAATAAATCTGGGAAACGATCAGTTAAATAGGTCCCTGCTGCTGCAAGACTTCCAGAGGCTACAACAGGCCAACATGAATCTTCACACAGGACAAACCCTATCAGCATTTCCCAGACACAACTGGCCAGAAACCCTTTTGACATCAAGTCCCTCTCAAAATACTAACATTCTGTGAAACACATTTTGGGAAACGGTGACCCAGACAAATTACCCCTTTGACAGAAGAGTAAGTGAGAAGCCAGAGAGGAGGAGGACTTGGTTCAAGCCCCAGCCCCCACTCACTTTCACTGCTTCCAGCTGGCTTCCCAACCACCGCTGCTGTCCGGGCTCTCACCGCTCTGCACCCGTGCCACCTGCCCTCGGACAAGAGCGCAGCTTTCCGCTGGGTCCAAGACAAAAATATGTTTCCCGCCACGGCTCCTCACAATTAAGGGCCCAAGGAATGTGCCTCAGACGTACCTCTCATTAAATCTTCCCACCACATCCTGATGGGCCTCGGTCCTGTATCTTGAATGCACATCCTGAAAGAGACAACATCCGTGAACAAAGACATCCCACAGTATCGCTGGGGCTCCGGGTCTCTGTACAGACGTTGTAACAAGCAGCCCTGGGATAAGAGGCGCCAGAGCGGCTGCTGGAAATCCACCCCTACGCGATCTGCTGTACTCAAGGGTCGGACCGCTCCTTGCTGGAACGGGGATCAGCAAACTCTCAGTGTAGTGTTTTTTTATGACAATAAACTTCCCCTCATCTCAACTTTGGCGTTTTTCCACATTTTATCCGGCACCATAAAATGTCTTCATTCAATAAAACATACATGCCAACCGTGTGCCAGACACGCTGGCTATACACTGGTGTTTAACAAAGCATGGCCTCCGTTCCCATGAGGCCTACGGTCTGATGGTTGGAGGGAAACAAATGAGTAAAATTCTGGCCAATGCTACAAATGAAAACCAGGGTGCAGTGATAGCAAATGGCGGGGGCGGTTACTTACCTGCAGCAGAGAGGGAAGGCTCTCTGAGGTGAGGAGCAGACAGCCATATGAAAGGGGGCAGAAGGACAAACAAACTGACATGGGCACAAGGTCATTCATTCATTCATTCATATTTAAGCATTTAACTAGTGCTTACTAAATGCCGGCCACTCTCCCATCATCTGGGAGTGTACCAGCAAGGAAAACAAAGTCCCTGATCCCATGAAGTTTAGAGACTAGCACAGGAAGTCAGACAATAAACAAATAAATATGTAACTTCAGGTAGCTGGCCAATGTTCTGAAGAAAAACAAAGCAGGTCACGCATTCCAAACAGGGAGTGAGGAAAGACCACGCTGAGGAGGCGGTGTTTGAGCAAGGACTTGAATGTGGTAAGGAAGAGGGCCCTGCGATATCCCAGTGGCCACAGCAAATGCGTGGGCCTCTCAGGACACCCGAGGAAGCCAGAGGGGCCACAGAAGAAGGTGATGGGAAGAGCAGTGGTGACAGGAAGCAGCCACTAAGGTTTGAGGAAAGTCCAGGTCACCGTAGAAACACAGCTCGTGAAAGCCTGAGGCTAATCCTAACTCCATTCCCGAGTAGGGCCATGGGCATGACTGAAAACCTAAGAACTAAGAACATCCACGTGGCAATACTGACGGGGTATTACTGACAGCTCTGCATCCACTGAGACACAGTCCCGCTCCTAACCATGTCCTTGGCTCTGGATGGAAACTACCCCTTCCACAGTCAAAGCTCTTGCCAAACTGGGGGTGGAACTGGCAAATGTTCCCTCATCATCTGCAAGGATGAGGACTGGTGAGGATGTCTGTGCGTGGTCCCTTTTTTGCAATACACGAATGAGGCACCAGCGCGGCTCTCTGCAGAATACCACTCCTGAAATGGAACTACGGAACAGCTGCATCTCACCCGAATCTCACTGGCGTAGAAATCCGCAAATACCCAAAATCAAATGTGAAATTCAGAGGCTAAGTCACAGTCAGGGCCACTGACATTTCTCCACAGTGACGTTCTCATTACTGGCAGTCGAAAAGTTCCCAGCTCAGAGCTTGTGCCACCGCTCACTGGAACTGCTCAACGGAAGTTCTTTAAAGAAAGTGGCCAACAGCAAAAACACAGCTTGGTCTGAACCGCCTGAGTTCGGTTACAAACCACACACCTACCATGCTCATCGTGTACAACTGCTTCAGTGAATTCATGGTCCGTAGGAGGATGACCACCAGCCCGCCACCTTCCACCGTTTCCACAGTTCTGGCCAGCAAGTTTGGAGTTAAAGCTTCAAAATCCTGGAAGAAGGAGACCTTGTATAGGGCTGGTCATGCCAAGAGCACCCCCAGGGAAGCTCAACTAAGGGTCAGGTGATAGAGTAGGAGGAGGGCTTCAGAACACAAACCCAAGACCATGGCCCCCACCCAATTCACCAGTGTGGACACACATACACCCACCCCTTCCCGATGGGCAGAGAAGCGAGCCCGGCCCTGGAGAAAAGGGGTGCCTGGTTTTGTATGTCAAGTGTGTCTAAGAATCTCAGACAAAAGCCTATTTGGGAAGAAATCCTCCCACTTTCATTGATTTGCACTTGGATTTCACAAATCCCTCACACGCATTTTCTGATGTGCTCACAGACAGAACCTGTCTGACAAGACTCAACTGTGCCACACGGGGGAGCCACTGCCTAAGGGAGCCTTCTTCATGGCAACCAGTAACAGCAGCCGCCTAAGAACACTCGCTCCCAATCCACAGTGGGGTGAGAAGAGGCGCTCTTCTCGTCTCCAAGGTGGGGTGCAAGCCAGCAGTATGGGACAACCCACTGGAAGGTAGAAAGAAAAAACAGAAACTCCCAATTCATGATTTTTTCCCTCATTTCTTAATTTCCATTTTATAAGGTATGTTTTATAACGTATATTACCACAGTATTACATGCATACTATAAACACAGACCAAAATTGGGGATCTGAGCCTAAATGTGTACTTTTTGGGGGATGCGAGGGTCACAGTGTCAAGGAATAAAAAGATAAAACACAGACCACCAGAGCTCAAAACAAAGAAAAACATGAAATTTCGTCTATTAACTTGGCTGGCAAGAGAATAATACCAGTGAAAAAAAGCACCAGGTAGTTCTCTGTGCAGGGGGACAGTGAGGGGATTTTAAGGACAGAGAGGGATGGAGGGTATTGCCAGTGGTTATGGCAATCGAGCGGTCTGGGGAGAACGCCTGAGTGCACATAGGACTCCACCCTGTCGGTGAAAACAGGTCCCACTGCTCCCTGCTCACCAAAGTCTCCAGCTAGTTCCAGCAAGGACCAGGGGACATGGGGTCGCTTGGGGTTCACAGCACTTCCTTTCTCACCTTCAGCTGGTCAGAAGCAGCTGTGATGGAGCATCTGTGTCAGCTCTGGTGTCTCTAGGTAAGTGCTGCCCGAAGTGGAAAAGTTCATTCTCATACAGGGTGAGTTATCAAGTCTGCTTTGGCAGGTGGCCAAGTGTTCCACTGACCATGTGCAGGGGAGGGGGTGGGTGAGCCTTCCTCCTTAGGGCCCAGCTGTTCTCACGGGGAATGCTCGTGCTCGGACTCCGGGCCCAGGCCAGGGGAAGCCACCCACCTGGAGGACACACATGCCGAATGTGTTGCCCAGGATCTTGTGGGTCTCGTTGTAGTAGCAGTAGCGAATATTTGTAGCCGCCACGAACAGTTCGAAGGGGTCATCTTGCTTTATGTTCAGTGTCCCGTTCTTTATTTTTTTCTGGAGCTGTCGCATTCTTTTCTTCCGGTGACTGCAATCACCCCCAACACACACACCCCAGGAGAGCCAGTTAACCAAAGAGGCTATTAAGGGTGAGAGCAGGGGACAGGCCAATCGATGATCACCCACCCAGACCTTCAGAGCATGAAGGAAACTCGGCAACTACAGGGCTAACCCCGCCCTTTAAAGGTGAAGGAAAGCGTAGAGAGGTTGAGAATGGGCTGTGGAGGGAGCCAGGGTGCGTCTGTGGGGGGAGCCAGGGTGCGTCTGTGGGGGGCCTTGCTATGCCACCCTGGTACCTTCTGCAGATACTCAACTTCCGAAGGAAAGTAATGGAAGGACCTAAAGCTCACATCTGGCTAGACCAGAGTTTGAAATCAACCCTGGTCACCTCATTACCATAGTCTCAAGCCCATGTTTCCACTACACAGTACCATTCCCCAGATTCCCCAGAAGACCTGAGAAAGGCAGGGTGACCACAGGTAGTTTATTCATTTTTCATAAATGAATTCATCTACTTCCTTCCCCAGACTGTGGGATCAAGTCCTCAAGGGCAGCCCTGACTTAAGACAGTCCTGACAGAGGATATAAGGGTTGGAATGGGATCTGGATAGCTCTCAGGAATCCTGAACTACTTCTTTATCTTAAAATCCCTGACCGCCCCACTGTCATTCAACTCTTTGATCTACAGAAAGAGAGAAAAACAAGACAACTCCAGAATTAAGGATTATAACTGATGAAAATGTTACTACAGTTCTCTAGCTGAATAGCTAGAACAAAGGCCTTCCCTCTGGGCCCATATTTCTTCATTTGCGAAAGAGGCCATTGGGCAAGGTGACCGTCCCTGTCACTTTGGGCTCATGCCTTAGCCCATGACTTACAAGCATCAGCTAATCTGGTGTTCTGTCACCTCAAGACCGGGTTGGGAGAGCTATAAGAGGTACAGAAGAGAGTCTTACAAGTGAAGATGGAGGGTTAAGGTGGAAAGGCAAATCTGCCCCGAACACTGTGAACCACTTAATTCTGCGCCGTCTGACGTTAAGCAACCGCACGGCAGTGACGCAAGCCCCGAAACTTCACATTCTGCTGACAGGCAACAGGCCTTATTCTCAGTCTATATTAAAAATGCTTACCTGCCCAATTATGAAAGAATATATACAACAAAATACCTACTGTGATTTACAACAATCCACAGTGACAGCTAAATGCTAACAACGCCTATGTACTGAGATTATGAGCGCTTTTATCTTCAACTATGTGATTCATCTGTATTTTTCATATTTCTTACAAGAACGCCATTTATATATATTTTTTAGAACAGCAAGACAACTAATCAAAGTTAGCCTTTGGAACTAAGTACAACTGAAAGCAGCTCAAAGTCTGCTAAACAACGCATTTAACTCAACAAATACCACCTGAGCACCTACTACTAACATGCCAGACCATCTGAAAATATGAAAATATAAAGATAAGCAGGCGAGGCCTCCTAACTAAATGAACTTACCACCTGGAAGTAAAATAAGACCAGGGCGCAAATGAGCATCTTCCCGGGGAGGGAGATTGGAGGGTGACCAGCACTGGAAGATGGCAGGCAGCAAAGAGGGTAGAGGCGCCCCAAAGTGTGACTCCAGGGCTTGGGGGAAAGTTTGGAGAAGGAGACAGGCCCTGAAGAGTGGGGAACATTTCAGAAGGGGACACCTGAGAGGCAGCGGTGGCATCCCAGACAGAGGCGGCAGGGCCAACGCCAGGAGTGGCCACAGCACAGGGCAGCCTGAGCTGGAGATTTCCATTTCCGAGTCAACATCAGAGACAAACACATTTGGGAATAAAGGAGAAAGGAGAGACTCAAGGACAGAAACGCACACGCAAGCTGGGCAAATAGTAGGAGGTAAGATCAAGAAAAAAAGAGTACTGCTCAAGAAGGCAGTCTGAGAAAGCATCACTGAGGCCAAGACGGGAGCGCACCTCTGACGTGACCACAGAGTGGGTTATCTGCCAAGGAACACGACTTGGCACCCCAAACTCCTCCAGACACAAAATTGCGGGTTGAGCTACCAGATTTCCACTAGACGGACTGACCCCCACCTCCTTGGGCCCAGGGATGGGCATCTTGCCACAGGAATTTGGGGAGAAAGACAGAGGTCCAACATTGCTGGACCTCCACACTCAACAGCTCTTTCAGCCGTGGGGACAAAAGAACACAGATAGTGGAACTGTAGCGGGAAAGAACAGGGCCTACGAGCAGAGCTGAGACAGGCAAGCACTGGGAGCATCCGGGCTACGGCTCTACACCAGCTAAGGCAGGGCTGACATCGCATTCCCGTAGGTATCGTGCAGACCTCAAGGAACTCCCTCTGGGCCTAAGTGTGTTGTGGCGCAGGTGTGCTATTTCAACCAGGTGTCCTGACTACTGCGGCTTCAAAAAATAAGAGGAGAGCCAACCGGCAAACACGACAGTGAACCAGTGGAAAAAGAACTCTGAGAGGAAGGAGAAAGGGAGAAAAGCTGCTGCATGAGGCGTTGGGCTGTCAGTGACTTCCTAGAGCACAATCTGGTCACAATGATCGAAGCAGAAGCCAGTTAAAAAAGAGCGTGACTAGAAGTGCACAAGGTTTCTATTTCACAGCAATAAACGTGAGAGAAAAATGAAAGCCTGAGAGATAAAACTGGGTAGGCAGCTCATCATTTTTTTTTTCCTGAGACTGGAGAACTGAGCACATTTACAGGAAAAGGGAGCAAATTTCAAAGGGGTATGGAGTAGGGGGCAGAGGAAGAGGATGCAGGTCCCGAAACAAGTGAGAGAAGAAATGCGGCGCTCATAGGGGTTTGCAGGGGCCAGGGGATGAGGCACATCCTCCTCAGAAACAAAAGGCAAAAAAGAGAATGAAAATGCAGAGTAAATTTGAGATGAGAAAAGGCAACTGAAGGAATCTGCATTAGATCGGCGTGATCAGCTTAGAAAAGTAAAAAAATTCAGAGGCAGAAAGCAAGGCACTGGGATGCGGTCCTCTATAGAGCATGAAATGGATTTGAAACTTACTGTCAGCGGGGCGCCTAGGTGGCTCAGTGGGTTAAGCCTCTGCCTTCAGCTCAGGTCATGATCCCAGGTATGGGATCAGGCCCCGCATCGGGCTCTCTGCTCAGCAGGGAGCCTGCTTCCTCCCTCCCTCTCTGCCTGCCTCTCTGCCTATTTGTGATCTCTGTCAAATAAATAAATAAAATCTTTAAAAAAATAAAATAAGATAAACGAAACTTACTGTCAGGAACGCAGAAAGGACATCTGTGCTATCATTTTCTATATCTGGAAGTGTCCTCAGAGGTAGCACCTCCCTAATGATCCCTGAAAAACTAGATCTGGGAATCACTGCCTGGCACTGAACTAAGGAGCAGGAATTGTAAGTGGTATGGGACATTCAAAGGGCCAAACTTACCTGCTAAAGCCCAGCTCTTTCTTGTAACACCACAGCACTGAAGGCCGAGCCTTCACCTTCGCTTTGGACAACATGTGATGGAGTATGACCACCTGCCAAAAGAAAGTCACGGAATCTCAGGGCCCAAAGAGGCCTCAGAGACTGCCAGGCCCAAGACCTCACTTGAAAGATCTGGAAAGTAAACCAAGGGCCAGGACAGGAAAGCACCCCGGGTCCCAAGGCCAGCAGTGCCTAGGCAGGGGCTAGAAGCCCAGTCACACATACTTAACCTCATGCTCAGTACCCCCTGGGGTTCTCACTAGGCATCTTACTCAGAGAAAACCGGTTAAAGGGACCTTAGCGTTACCATGTGCAGAAACCTCAGACGGCCAGTAGTAAGTTGACTCTGGGATAAGACACAAAGTAAGTCAGAAAGTGCTGACCAGGTCCTACCTGATCCTTTCCTCGGTCTCCAACTACAACAAACAAAGACCTTTGTCGTTCAGCGACTCCATTTTCAATGAGAATCCGGATTCGGTTATCTACTTTCTTTCGATGCATGGTGAACGATTACCGCTGAAACAGAAAGGAAACACAGCTGTACATGAACACCAGATTCTGGGTGATAACATTAGCTTGTGGCCTCCTGTGGGGCCAGGGGTTGTGCTAGGCACATTTGTAAGTATCATTTTACTTAACTCTCCAACTGCTCCCTAGGGAACATGTCAGTTTCATTTTTAAAATTAGGAAACTATGGCTTGGGAGGTGAAGAGTATGTTTCCTCAGCAGGAAAGTCAGAAGAGAAGCTGTAATTCATACTTCTATCAAGGAGGTTTTTTCCAAAACCAGAAACAATGCTCCAAAAAACAGAATGATTAAAATATATGATGGCATATTTACAGGATAATAAGGTAGTTTTCAAGAAAAGTTTTTCAAAATAACTTTCAGAAATTATCTAAGGATATGGATGTAGATACTTATGAGAAGACAGACATCGCAAGACCAAGCATACCTTCTTTTTTTAAATGCATTTACCTAACATATAGGGAAAACAGACCTAGAAGGAAACACCAAAATGTAATTATTTCTGAATGGAGAGACTGCAGATGGTTTTTATTTTGTTCTTTTGTTATTTGGTGTTCTGTTGGTTTTTTTTTTTAAATTCATATGCATTACTAATAAAGTCAGGGAAAGGAAAGCAATGAATATTATTGTGATGAAATGTGTCCCAGGGGCAACTGGGTGGCTCAAGCATTAAGCAGCTGCCTTCAGCTCAGGTCATGATCCCAGGGTCCTGGGATTGAGCCCTGCATCGGGCTCCCTGCTCAGCAGGAAGCCTGCTTCTCCCTCTCCCACGTCCCCTGCTTGTGTTCCCTCTCTCACTAGGTCTCTGTCAAATAAATAAATAAAAATCTAAAAAAAGAAAGAAAGAAAGAAAGAAAGAAAAGTGTCCCAATTGTCTCCTCGAGGGAGGGAAAACCATACTGAAGTCTGTACAGAGAGACCTTAAAAATTATTGTGATTACATATAACAAAATACTGCATCATTACCACAATAAATACACCAAGGAAACATCAGGAATATCAATTATATTATTGCAACATAAGAGTAAGAATGACAGGTTACCTAGGAAGTCCAGAGCTTGCTGCTTCTAAACATAAGGTTCATCAATTGCCTTAACTATGCCATAACCATCCTTCTAACTTCCAACCCAAATGTGGATTTTAGCAGTTCTATCTTAATATTCAACACTATATTACAACCAATGGCTCCTTTTTCATGAGGAAAGGAGCAAATATAAAAGGACTCACGTATCTCAAGGAAGAGAGACTCCAAAGCCTAAGCTTTTTCCAGCTCAACGATCACCTCCGCTGAGCTGTCACAAAACAATCACACACTAATCAATCAATAACTAATTATTAGGGGCTGCTTTTTGCCCTAGTTACTAGGGGAGCCCCAGAAGCAATGCCAGGTAAAGGCTTGACTTCAAGGAGCTTTCATTTTCCTTGGAGAAAATATTCAAGTAAAAGAGATAAGGGGCGATCGGTCTTACGACAGACAAAATTGGATGTAAAAATAACAGTACAGCCAGTGGTCTGATGAAGGTCTGAGATTACTCTGGGCTGGAGTTGCACGGAAGGCTTACTGGATGAAGAGGGCCCTGAGAGAAGAGAAAGAGGACTTTTCTTCATTCATCTATTGGTCTAACAAAATAGCATCTGTGTGCTAGTTACCGTTCTAGGGGCATTAGCAAATAAAACAAAGTCTTGAATGTGACTGCTGAATAAAGACTATAAAAGAATGAGGTGAGACAAACAGTTTAAAACATGGGAAGATCTGGACTCGGTTTAACGCCCAGCGCCTCAGTTTTATGCCCAGAGCCTATACCAGGAACTGTGGGCAAGCTCCGCGGAAAGCGAAAGTGTTGTCGCCCACCCCCTCACCCCGACCCCTAGCAAGAGGTCCCTAGAAGGTGGAGATCGAGCCCCGAGAGCGCTCAAGAAGCACGCCGAGGGTGGCCGCCAATCGGGAAGAGGAATCTGTCATCTAGGAGCGCCCGTGCGGGAAGGCAGGAGGCGAGGGCCGGGCATCCGCATGGATACAGAGACTTCATCCTCGAGCCGGTCACCTCTGGGCCCAAGAAAGACATGGACACCGACCTCAACACCCACCCCAAGACATCCCGTGTTGGCTACCTGCGCCCCGAGCCCAGCGGATCCCAGCCAGCAGCCAAGCGGAAGCACGTGGGGAACCCGGATTACTCCAGCAGCCAGAAAAGAGCAGTGGGCTGCCCCCAGCGGATGCCGGACTGCGAGCTTTCAGAGTTGGTCTCGCTCCGCGAAGCTCGTCTCGCTCAGGCCCTAAAAATCGGCGCGTGCGCAAGCGCACTAACGGCACGGCGGCACGCGTGTGCGGGGACCTTTCTCAACCAGGTCTCTGTGTGATGACGTCAGAGGCCCGGGAGGCGGAGCGGCAGCCCAAGTAGACAACTCGGCTGTTTTTACTCGGATGGCTGGGGTGCCGCTCGTCAGACTCAAAATACCTTGGCTTCGAAGGGGAAAATGTGCATACAGGTGTCCGCACCCCCAGCCCCTGCTACTGTACTGGGACTAGCCCGGGTTCCCAGATGGGTCCGGGGCAGTACATGATAAGTGGACCAGGATTGTTTATTAGCCTGGTTTTGAGATTACCGACTCCAGGGATCTGTGCGCGATTTTGATGATTTTTATTAAAATAACTTCCCACTTTAATGTGACAAAATGAGGAAACTCGACCAGCAGACCCGATTCATTTCACTTGACCCTCCCCACCTGCAGAAACGACCCTGTAGACCTGTCGGGAATTCAGTAGGCTTTCCATCCACCAGAGTGGGTACTTTGTAAGCTCCCTTTAGGCCTTTATCTGGCCATCAAATGATGGCGATCTTCTGAAAACCAGCTCTGGGGCTCTGCTCTTGATAAATTACTTAACATCCTTTTTTCCTTCACCCTCCCACTCCACCAGCTCCCAGGTGAAACTCGCCCAAGCACAAAAACCACATATATATTCTTACACATTCTTGTCTTTGGGCCAGAGCGTTGACCTTCAAGTAAATCCCAATTGCTTGCTTGACATTTTTCGGATACTTCAAATTCAAAATGTCTGAAGCCAAACTTATCTTCCCTTCCTCACTGAAATTCCTTCCCCACATCAAGACACATACAATTATAATATAATCATCACCACCACCCATTTAGTCCAATATCGACCATTTTCTCACTCAACAAAAATGCCAATATGCCAGACACAAAGGATAAGGTGACCAAAATGTTCCTATCACTCATGAAGTTTGCATAATTAAGTGCTATTAAGAAAAAAAGTATCCAAAAAAAAAAAAAGAAAGAAAAGAAAAAAGAAAAAAGTATCCAGCAAGTGAATAGTGACAAAGGATATGTTTTAGTGGTGGCCATGGAAGGCCTATGAGGCAATGACACTGGAGCAAACACCTGAATTTAGAATGAGCATTAAAAATATTTAAGTGAAAAGCCTTCCCAAGCTGAAGATATAACACATAGATTTCTAGATGGGATTTGCCTAATTGGCAAGGTAGCAAAGCAGCCAACATAGCCAGACTACAATGATCAAGAATAAAATGGTAGGAAACTAGGCCAAATAATGAATGCACATGGACCAAACTTTAGAATTCTAGGTGTAATGGGAAAACCAGTGGAGTTTGGGGAAGTGACAAAATCTGACTTGCCCTCAGAAAAGGCTTTCTTGGCTGCTGTGCAAAAATCACTGCACAAGGGCAAGAGTAGCAGCAGCCATGCATTAAAAGCTACTGTAGTTACCTGCTCTAAGCTAGTGGTAGGGGTGGTCAGAAGTGCTAGATGACTCAGGATACATTTTCAAGGTAGAATCATGTAGGTTACTTAAGCGCTAGATACAGGGTATGAAAGAAAAAACAATGGTAGCCGAAGTATTTGTCCTAAGCAAATGGATGAATGCAGGTTACTTAAGAGATTAATTTGGAACACTCAAGACATTCAAGTAGAGATTAAGGACTAGGACTGGAGTTTTCGGGAGTTTGGGACCTAGGAGTACGTAGAAGTGAACTAAAGTGATTGTATTCAAAGTCCTGGGATTAGATGAGATCACCTAGGAAAGATTCTAGCTGGAGATCAAGGTCTCACAACTGGATTACCCAGCAAAGAATACTGATTACTGAGTAGTGGCCAGTGAGACAGGAAACATGTAGAAGCCATTCACTACCGCCCTCCACTTTATAATAATTTCTCACATAGGCTACTCCAATAGACATATCTAGCCCCATATATTTTGTTCTCAACAATGCATTGTGTATTCTTTAAATGGCAATTTTATTAGGTGACCATCCTTTAACCCACCCCTGGCCCCATACACACACAGTTTAGAAACCCTTTAGTTTCCAACTGTTAAGAGACAAAACTTAACATGGAACATAACTATAAACCCCCTATAGTACCCTTTACCTGTTTCTTCAGCCACTAACTATTAACACCCACACTTCTCCCACTTGAGCAGACAGCCTTCTCAATCACTGGAGAGGACACCTTTGGACATTACTTTTCTCTCCACTTCTCTGCCTAATTACTCCTCATCCGCCAAATCTTAGTTCAATTATCCCTTTCACCAAAGTCTTTCCTGATCATTTTGACTAGGTCGTAACCTATCTGAGTCACGGCCTTTATACTTGTCATCAATCACGTTGCTCCATCATGGCATTGGTACATTTTTGTGTCACCACATTATCTTTGATGAGGTTGTTCAGTGAAAGCAGGAACCACAGTGATTTTTGTCACCACTGAATACTTAGTGCTTGCCACGATGCTCGGAAAAGGACACCCAGATTTGCCTAATGAAGCCTTCGTTCAGTGGCTTAATACAGTGTCTCCCGAATATAAACACAGTACTTAAAGAAAACTTGTATTTATAAATAAAAATACAACACTGAGAATTGCCTTTACTAGATCAGGTGGTCTTGCACTGTCTATACTCAATGAGCCACTCTTCTGCATGAGACTGATTAGACCTCGCCAACACCTGTTAAATTAAGGTATTAAGATCCTGACTGAAAGAAGGTATGGTAGTCTAGTCTCTTAAGGCTACCAGAGAGATTTCTTTTAAGCTTTTTCCTTCTCCTCTTATAAGCAGCACTTCAGAGCTTCGCTGGATAGTATACACAACTAATGTAGACTTCACTAAAGGACAGTAAAGAATCAGATTTTAATATTTAATCTAATGTAATTTAAGACAAATAGTCTTTTCCAGTATTTTTAAAAACCCCAGAATGGGAAAAGGTATAGAGATAAGCCTTAACTAATTTACATTCATTTTCCTGATGGTTTCCCTCCCTGCTGACTCTACAGAAGGGATAGGCTCAAGGGCAATACTGATTCTTTGAAAATAATTTATAGTCAATAAAACTTAAAAGTGCTTAATAAGAACTCAAGTAGGATGAGAATTCAGGAACTTAAAGATGAAATGAAGAAGGGTTTGAACTCAGTGCTTCCCTGTATCTCACTCGCCTAATTAGATATATTACTGGAAATATAATGAACAGTACAAATTTCCCAAGACACTGAGCAAACAAACTAACTACTCAACTGCCTTCTACATTTTATGAACTGGTTGTCACAGAGCACCTCAGTTACTGAGGCTTCTGAGAATAAACACAAATTTTCATGCCTCCTTTAAGTGGAAAAGTTTCCCACCATAACAGAGATGCATATATAGGAGACAAAAGAACTGTAGAAGCTAACTGATTAAAAATGTTTAAAGGACATTTGTTTTAATATCAGGATACAGTGATTGCAAAAACCCTTCCACATTCTTCAGGATATTAGGATCTAGAAACAAAACTGCTCTAACCAAGGTCATCAATGACATTCTACTTAAAGCTTAAAAAAAGGAGTCTCATTATCCACATGAGATGATTGATATTGTACATTTAAAAAGTACCTTATATAATGTGGAGCCTTACTGTATCAAGAAGCTACAGTGACACATGTGACAGTCATTTCCTTGCAACTCTGCTAAAATAATCATTTGACCAAACAAAAGGCCTTCTGCAGGTAGGACAAGTATTCACATATTATGCAGGATGCTTAGTACCAAGACTCAGACCTTAACGGGACTTTTTTTTAAAAAGTTCTCTGCCTCATAATGAGGCACTCCTTTGAAAAATATAGTCTGAATTGTCACACAAAAGCTTAACATTTAAACTGTGATGATAGAATGCAAAAAAAAAAAAAAAAATTCTATTTCCAAAAGAACAAACGATTCTTTTAAAAACATACATAGAAATAACAAAACTGCTAACACCTTTTACACATTCACAACATCTACACTAATGCATAGAAGTTTGAAACCTAGAACGCATTTCTCCCCATCCCATCTCTAAACTGATTCAGAGATCACTAGTATAAAGAACTTATTTACTTCAATTTTAAATGTCATGAAATTGTTTTCTACACAGATAGCAAATTTAGTTTTATATATAGGATTGAAAGCATACACATCTAGGGATTACCCAGGAAACCATGAATATTTTATCTATTGCCCATAAAATACAGCTAACATATGGTTGTGGTACATCCCAGGCAGATGTCATTTAAAGCACACAACGGGAGGTGCTAGCAAAAGAAATACTCGTTTGCAAAAGTAAACAGAACCCTTCCAATATGATGTACCACAACCACACATGAGAAAAGTCAAGAACTTATTTTATTTTAAAATAAACATTGAAGATATGCCCCCTTCCCCACCACCCTACAAAAAACTTTTTGAATGTGGAATGTTCAACAGCCTATCCATTTTAGAAGGTTACAAAACCAGCAAAAACTCCAGTTGTCTAATAATGAATGTTTGAGAATAGTTTTGTGTCTTGTTTTTTGTTTTTCTTTAGTAGCTGAGCACCTACTGGAAAAATTCCTTAGCTAAAGGCTAATAAAACAAAATTCCATTTCTGCACAGAAAATACCATTCACTTAGTATTAGTAGCCTTTGCTGAATAGATGGGATTAATTCTCCATGAAGTCAAGGTGGGATATGACAAGCAGCATTAAGTTCATAGGCACACAGAACTAGTGCTCAAACTGCTAGCACAAATTCCAACAGTACATAAATTACTAAACTGTCATCTCCATCAAACTGTGACTCTCCCTATGCATCTAAGTGAAGGAATCACCACTTTGAATATAAATGCCTCCATGAGAAAAAGGTAATTCAATCAGGGTTAGACAAAAGATAAATGCAACTACAGAAATAGCTGCTGGAGATAACCATAAAATTTGAAACACTAACAGTGCATGGGGTGAACCACAGAAGCTGCTAGCTGTTGAACACCAGTGTTTCAAGATACAACTTTTATAAACATGTTTTATTTGTTTTGCTTATACCATCAGAACTGAAACTACTGTCTGTCATTTCCCTAAAATAGGGAAATCAATCTAAAACACATACTGGTGCTTTGCAAAAGATAGCAATTTAAAAGGGTGGTAGCAGCAGGCATTTGATATTTTTCTTTTGAAAACCTTCAGGCTGCAGGAAAAACATGTGACCGAGAGTGTTATGATTATCCATTAGATATTTTCATCAGTACCTGTACCAATTTAGGTGACAATACAGCAAGATTCAAGGATTAGTGACAGACAATGTACATTATAAGGAATGATATATAGTACCAATCCTTACAAAAGTCATTGTCGAAGAAACTGTTAAGTGTTCAAAAAGGTATCTAAATACTTCACATTAAGTACAGAAGCGGCCATCCAGATTACATCCCATATTTGTTGCATATTTTTCGAAAAGTGCCAATCAAAGCCTAATTTTGCATTTTGGCTTTGTCTTATACAGTATCAGCTGTTAAAAAGCAATTTACATGTGTTTTTAACCACAGTCGTTTGGCCAGAGGATGAATAGTGCTGTGTCAAAGCTGGTAGCCAGCCTTTTATATTAAGGGCCCATGCATAATTTGGTATGCATCTAACGTTCAGTGCTCCAATTTAACTGGAAAAGCTGTGAAATGCAGTTGTTCCGCCAAACCACACTCCACTCCTTCTCGAAGGGAAGTATTTTAGTTTTGTCAGTTACCACTGAATAACTCTAGGGCTGATTTATAGATTTTGTCCAATGTCAAAAGTCAATCTTGCTTTTTCCAAGCCACTTCAAATAACTATGGAGATATCACCCTGTAAAGTGTATTATGTTTTACTCCTAAGCAAGGGTGAGGAATCTGAGTATCATGTGCAAGGTTCAAGATGACGCTTAGGACAGAACATGCAGAATAAAAATAGTTTCCTTCCATATCCAGGTAATATAAAGCTGACAATTGTAGTCCTGTCTTTATGGGATGAAAACAGTCCCTTTACAATAAGTTTCCTGAAAGGGAGAACAAATAGATAATAACTCTTCTGGTAACATATTATGGTACACTGGCCAGTGTGTTTTTGGCGTTTAAACATAATCCTGTGAATCAGATTAATTCACTTGCTGAGTGTTCATTTGCGGCATCCCTCTGTTGGGTCTTGGGGGCCCTCCACGACCTAGAAGACAAAAATGGCATTTGGTTTTTCTTTCAAATATTATTTGCTTTGCCTTCAAGCAGATTTTCATCTGAAGTCAAGAAGCATGTGGGCAGCTTGTCACCACATTATTAGGTTTAAGAAGTCAATTCTTCAGTGTTCACCTGTCCTGGAAGTTGTCATGCGCAAATTTGCTCACGTTCTCTAGCTAAAAGAAGAGTAGAGCTAATGGAGTATTCCACCAGTACTCATTCATTCAACAAGTATTTATTGAGTGCCTACTATGTGCCAGGCACTGTCATCAGGCGTTGGAAATCGATACAGCAGTAAAGACAGACAAGGTACCTGCTCTCACGGAGCTTACATTCTAGTGTACACTCTAGCTTACATTTCAGTAGTAAGTAACATCATACTATCAAAATTAATAAAAGCACCAGAATGAAAAACAGACCTTGTTACCTAAACTGTTAAAAAGAAACTACATAACATTCAAAATTGTATAATGACTTGTAACAGATAAAGTAACTTTTTACATGCTGTTAAAACAGATTTTTAGCTACCGGTCAACTCAACTTTCATAGAATATGCTACAAGATGAGAAAGAACATAACCCACATTCACATGCAAATATCCTTTGATACTTCAAGTCAGTAATTCCCAAGTGATCCATTAATTTAAAAATAAAATGCACCTTTTTGCTGGCCAGCTTCTACTAGCATTGAAATCAAAGTACTTTGTAATTCCTCCTTAATATACATTTTATACATGTTATGGCCAATAGCTAGAGGAAAACTATTCAATTTAACTTCCCTTAAATCAGAGAACCATTTAGAACTTCAGATCATACAAAATGCTACCTAATTGTTACACAGGTTGACTTCCTGTCCAAATAGGAAGCAGTTTTCCTCTGGTAATAGCCAAAATCAGAAACTCATTAAGCCTGCAATTTTTAAAGATAGTTCAATAAATTAGTTAGGATTTTGGATGTTTTATTTAGAAGTCAGAAATAATCTGACACTTGTATCGCTATTAGTGATCCAAAGGCATTGAAGTTTCAACTAGGTTCTATCACTTCTAAATGGTTCTCTAAATGTAACTATGGCTTATCTGGCCATTAAAGGATTTCTGACCCTAAAATATAATATGCATGTTCAAAAATGAAAGAGGAATAATAAATTTATATAAATGTTCAATCTCATTCCAAAAATGTCTTACAAAAATGTTTCAGTAAGTACTTCCTAAAAACATTTAGCAGGTTTTAGGACCTGAAAAATAATTTGCAGTTGGAAAAACACTTTTTCTGAGGAGGAGAAATGTTTTAGTTTTCAAGACAATTTATAGAGTAACAGGGAAAGTCATTCAAAAAATTAAATTTGGGTTCAAGATTAGTTTTAGAAACAGAGCATTTCATTTAATCCCTAGCAACAAGTCTGGTAATGATAAATGTATTCCTAACATGTAACCTACATGCAGACTATGGAACAGCTCTTCCAAGGCCAGAACAGAAGCTCCACTTGGGAGCTAGGATCACCACCACAAAATATTACCTCGTGGGGCTCCCCGTGGTCCACTCTGCCCAGAGCCTCGCTTGAAATTCTGCTGATATCCATCCTAAAAGACAAGCTAGTTAGTACCGAAGGAAATGTAATTTTTTAATGCTTACTCATCATCTATCTATTCTTATTGACACAGAACACAAAATTCTTCCTTATTTTTTTTTGCACATTTCAATATAATATAGCTAGAGAAGTTATTCTGTAATTGTACTTGTTATTCTCAATATTTAATGAGATGTCTCTGCTCTTAAAAATCATTTTTTTCTCCTACACAAACTTATTTTTATTCATATATAATTAACATATAGTATTATATTAGTTTCAGGTGTACAAAAGGGTAATTCAAAAATTTTATACATTTCTTAGTGCTCAAGGTAAGTCTGCTCTTAATCTCCTTTATCCATTTCACCCATTCCCCACCCACCCCCGCCCCTCTGGCAACTACCAAGTTTATTCTCCACTTAAAAGTGGTTTTTTTTGTCCACCTCTGTTTAGTTTCTTAAATTCCACATATGAGTGAGATCGTGTGGTGTATTTCTTTCTCTGACTTATTTCTCTTAGCATCACACTCTCTAGGTCCATCCACTTCCTGCAAATGGCAGTATTTCCTTTTCTCTCTTTTTTTTCTGTGGCTGATAATATTTCATTATATATACCACATCTTCTTTATCCATTCATCTAATGATGGATAATTGGGGTTGCTTCCACCCATACCTTGGCTATTACAAATAATGCTGCAATAAACACAGGAATGCATGTATCTTTTTGAATTAGTGTTTTCATTTTCTTTGGGTAGATACCCAGTAGTGGAATTACTGGGTCATATGGTAATTCTATTTTTAATTTTTTGAGGAAACTCTACACTGTTTTACACAGTAGCTGCACTAATTTGCAATCCCACAAACAGTGAACAAAAATCATTCTGTTTTCAAGACTATTAAATGATTAGCACCTATGTTGAGTGCTTAAGAAAAAGTTATCATTTTCCATAATGAAGTTATTATCTTGTATAAAATTACAAAATTAGCCCCAAATTACTTAATTACTAAAGTATAAACAGCCGCATCAGTCCACTTCATTGGTGTATTTAGGTCAGGTTTGTATTTTAAAGCAACTTCTACCTACCCGCTGATAGCCAGAGTAGTCCCGGGGAGCACTGAACTGAGACTGTGTATAACCACTATTTGGAGTGTTAGAGAATGAAGGGCGGTAACCATCATATCCTCCTAAAATTTAGGACAAGAAAATAATTTTCTTATCTATACAAGGAATATTTATTTCCTACTACTGACCAAAAAAAGAACTGAAAAATTGTAAGCCATGCTAATTATTTAAACTAATTTCTAGTTTCCTATCCTGATCCCATCTGTTCCTGAATTTCTGAGTATTAACTTACTTGGAAGACGACACTTTTACCCATTCATGCGCACACACCCCCACACAAAAAAATCCCCATAAAGTCTGATAATTAATGGAAACAAGTATCACCTAGAGGACACAGAAATCAGGGATTTGACACCTAAAAAAATTCATTCCTAATTTTGTCGGTCTAAATGCCTAAAACAGGACCGCCTCAGCAGGCTCAGTTGGTTTAAGCACCTGCCTTCGGCTGAGGTCATGATTTGGAGTCCTGGAATGGAGCCCCACATCAGGCTCGTGCTCAGCAGGGAATCTGTTTTCCCTCACCTGCTGCCCCTCCCCTGGCTTGTGCTCTCTCTCGCTCTCTCAAACAAAATCTTTTATAAAAAATAAATAATTGCTGGGCGCCTGGGTGGCTCAGTCATTAAGCATCTGCCTTCAGCTCCAGTCATGATCCCAGGCACCTGGGACCAAGCCCCACCTTGGGCTCCCCACTCAGCGGGAAGCCTGCTTCTCCCTCTCTCGCTCCCCCTGCTGTGTTCCCTCTCGCTGTACCTCTGTCAAATAAGTAAAATCTTTAATAAGTAAATTAATTAAATAAATAAATGCCCGTAACATACTAAAAACGTTTAAGTTGTACATAAGAGACTAACGCAGATACATATCTTTCCCAAAAACCATACAACATATTTCTATGTATTTTATAAATTAAAAAAAGAACATAAATTTGCTGCTGCTTTTTTTTGTACCTCTGAATCCATTGGCAGGGCCCCTATATCCATTCATCAAGCCTCTAGCACCACGGGAACCACCACGAGACACACCACGACTGTTGTAATATGGCTGACTGCTACGTGGAAATCCAGTGTTCTGCTGGGGAGGCTGCTGGTGGTTACCAGTCACTTGATGGGGCTGGTCCTGGGAACCATGGTAGGTGCCAACCACTATAATAAAAAGAAAAAACTTATACACACACACACACCCTGCATACACATAGCTCATTACAACCTGTTCTCTGAGTTTCTGGTTTAAGAGGTGCCTTGTACTTCCTCTTCAAATTGTCTTTAAATTTTCATATTAACAATAGTGATCACTATACATTAGTTAAGTCATTAAATCCCTATTTTCCTCCTACCCATATATTAATTAGCTAAAGAGAATATAATTCTCCAACAATAATTCCAAACCTTTAGAAGCACACAAATGTGTAAGAGCACAAAATTCTATCCTTCCAAATGAAACAAAACCTGTATTATTAAATATCTTCTAAGAGGCACCTGTCTATTAGCACAAGAGATCCACAATAACTCAAAAGATCTTACATACTGGAACAGTACAATTATCATTTTGTATCATTTAATTATTTCTTTTCACTAAAAAGTTCCTTTGTGGTAAAAGTTTTCATATCCTTTTAAATTGCCCTTGCTACTTAGTGAAACATACAAAACCATGCTCTCCCATACCTAGGCAACCATATGGTGGAAAATCCAGTCAATTATAAAGATAAATCAGCAGAGGCCTTCAGCTTATACCCCCCTTAATGCCTGATTCCACTTCAAGTCCTTTTAAGTACTACCAATTTAAAAGACAGTTAAATACTACTCACACTGGCACTCAACCCGATGAGGTGAAGAGAAGATTCTAAAAGGTTTACGCTAACCTTGCACACTCCTTCCTCCTTCCACAATGGGGAGAAGTCTAGAATCTAGAAATCTTCAAAAATTAAATCCTGAGGTACCTTTCTGATACTACCCCAATGTTTATAATTCACACAGGAAACAAAACAGGATGCAAACACTGCCTTTGGAAGATGAGAAAGGTAGAGACTAAAGGAAGGCTTACACCCCAAGAACAAAAACAATCAGCAGCCTCTTGCCAGCCCAAATCTCCCATGTTTAGGCAGACAGAAAAGGTGGTGTGACTCTTAAAAAACTTCACCTGATATATTTTATATCCTGAAGAAACCCCAAACACATTTATCAGTTCTCAGAATGATATCTGGAATGAGTAAGCCCAAGTATGCCTAGGAGGAGAAGGAGTGGTGGCTTCTTTTTGAACTATGTAATTAATGGACCAATTATACTATTCACAGTGTGATCTTTCTATAGATTGCCTTTCACTACATTCCCCAAATTTAAAATTACAGGCAACTATCATGATTACAGGTAACATTTTCTATCTGAAGAGATTCATTCACATGCATGTAGAGAGTGGTCAAAAGTGAATTTTCAACTCAACTTTTTATCAGTAAGAATTTTATTAGTCTTGGTCAAATCTCACTGCAAGAAAACTCTTAGTGGTACAATTAAAGTATAATCTTTATTTAAAAATACCAGAAATCAGGGCACCTGGGTGGTTCAGTTGGTTAAGCATCTGTGCCTTCGGCTCAGGTCATGATCCCAGGGTTCTGGAATCAAGACCTGCATCAGGTGCCTGCTCAGTGGGGAGTCTGCTTCTCCCTTTGTGCCTCCCCCCAGGCTCATATCTTCATTCTCTCTCTCTCGCAAAAATAAATAAAAATAAAATCTTTTAAAAAAAATTAAAATACCAGAATTCTTTTTAAAAAACAGAATTTCTATTAAAGTGTTTGTATACCATAAACTCCAAGTCCATAAATAATAGCCAGATTCTTGCCTTATCCCTTTTTCATGTTGTTCCTGACTAAACAGTACAATTTGCTGTGGAGCAGGTGTATTTGGGGCCTTTAGACATTGTGCTGACATGCTTATGAGCACATGGCAATAATTAAAGGAGCATGAGGGCATGAAACCCAGTTTTATCCCTCAGCAGCTGAACACAAATAGCGTAATGGATAAATATCAGATTATAGCTGATTCAAACTCCTTACTAATTACTGGTGCTTAATATTATAGGAAATATGTAAGAATTTAGTACTGAAAAATCCATAATATTGATCCAGGTCTATCAAGAATTTGGACAATTAAAATATCTCATAGTTATTTAAATCAGTCTGATAAAATTAAGCTATTAACTCCTATGATTTTAGAAAAGTCTGCTAGTTTGCTATGGGATTCCAATTAAACAACCTGGGATCTAAATAACCAAAGACCTAAAGCAGTTATTTCATGCCTTACAAAAGTTAAGAAATCCCCAGCTACATTACTGGTGGTAATGGGTGTGGTAACCAGCCAACTTATGAATGACCTTACTTGCCAACAAAAGACTTTGTTTTAACCTAGTCTACCAAAGACAGCTACCATGGGATTTTTGCTTGCTTTATTCTAACTAGCATACTGACAACCAAGCCAACTCCTTACTGCTTCTTAACTGTATAACTAACTGACTAACTACCTACCAGGTATCACGCTATTTGGCTTTAATTAATTAGCAATCAAAGCTGATCATAATTTAAGTAACAAGCTTAATTCCACTAAAATCATAGAACAAAAAAGGGATATTATGAGCACTTACTGATCAAAAGAAAATTGGTGTAAGGCCTCCCAAAAAAGTGCAGGCACATAAAATAAACATGGACTCAATTGAATTCAGGTTCTGTAATGAAAAATCTGTAAGGTCTACTACTAAAACAAAAATTCTTAGACCCTGACACTCTAAAAATCTAAACTCTCCTACCACCATCAGTTAACTGTGCTGGAGGGCAAGAAGCCAAGGAAGTGACACTGGTTTTCCTACCTGTTTGAAGCTGTTCTTGCTGAAGGTCTGTTTGTTCTACTTGATGAGGCTGACTAGAAAAACTCTGGTTGTAACTGGCCTGGTACTGATTTTGCTGTTTCAAAGTTTCTGGTTCATTAACAGGAGGAACCGGGGCATTCATATTGAACACCTGTAAGTAAATAAAGTAAATGATTACATCATCCTTTTACGCTAATAATTTCCCTATTTTTAATAAGGCAGACCTCAATGCTGGTTTTACCTCAACTGTAAACGCATTATAGTCCCAAACACACACACACTCACTCTCTACATATACAGTATATATATTTTTAATATACAGACATACACACCACACAGCACTTAAAGGAGAGCATAAGAGGGGATCAAAATCTAAAAAGACACAAAAATCAGCAGCTTGGAAATGCAATTATAAATGAGAAAGCTTTTTAAAGATGCAAACCACTGATACAATGTCACTAACAGAAATTAATTCTATGGGGGCACCTGGGTGGCTCAGAGGGTTAAGCCTCTGCCTTGGGCTCAGGTCATGATCTCGGGGTCTTGGGATCGAGCCCCACACGTCAGGCTCTCTGCTCAGCAGGGAGCCTGCTTCCTCCTCTCTCTCTGCCTGTCTCTCTGCCTACTTGTGATCTCTGTCTGTCAAATAAATAAATAAAATCTTAAAAAAAAAAAAGAAATTAATTCTATGAACTTTGAGTTGAATACTTAAATCATTTTTATTTTTATTGACATTTTCAGCAAGTTACTACTTTAATTCTGAACTTTCCCATGAGCACCAATTTAGCTGTGTCCCATTAATTATGGTATTTTCATCATCATTTTCTAGAAACCCTGCGGTTTAGAGATGAAAAACTGAAAAACCACAATGAACTATAATATGTGAAATTTACTATGAGAAATGTCCATAAAATAAAAGATTAAGCAAATATGGAAAAAAGTAGACAACTGTTAAATCTAGGTAATGATTTATATATAAATATTGTAGTAGTCTAACTTTTCTGCACATTTACTTTTGTTAATCAAACCAAAAGGGATTAAACTATAAAAAACAAAGATGTGAGCACATAATTCCTAAGACTCAAATATTATCTCTGGGATCAGGAAAAAATTAGAGTTTATGTTCAATTAAATATACTCTACATTTGGAGAGATGCAAACTCAAATACAAAGCTAAATGAAGACATTTTTGTTGAGACTCTGGCATGATCATACTACACACTAGGCATTTAATATTAGTTCAATTAATTACTCACCGTTTGCATGGATTGGAATGGAGCTGCATTTACATTGATTCCACTGCTATGTAATGGTTTGCTTGTCCCAGCCTGGAACACCTGAGGCTGAGAAGCAGCCGGAAGGGAAGATGATGCTGTAGTCTGGTCTGTATTTAAGGAGATTGTTGCCTAAACACAAAATGAATAGATGCACTTTAGTGATAAACTATATTTAGCCAAGTCTACTATCCCAAGACTTAGTATGTTAAGAAATTCAACTATTTCATAAAAGCAAAATACTGTATTGCTAGCATTAGATCCAAAAAGAGTAACAATATTAAGAGTAATTTACCTCTGCCCAATTCATGAGTAAGTGCCTCATCAAGTTTATGTTACCTAGTAACAGAAACTTGCCTGAATCTGGTCAATTGGTTCCTTTTGTGGTCGCTGCTCTGTAGCGTGAGAAGGCTGGTACAAGGGTTGAGATGCTGTGTACCCCTCACTTGTGGATGAAACCAAAGGAACCTACACAGAAACAAAGCAATCAAAGCTGTTTTCTGTTATAAACTTTAACACAGACAGGGCTAAGAAACAGATATACCTGTTAAAGAGACTATAAAACTTAACTGCAAAAAAATACATCTAATATTAAAACTGAAAGTTAAATATACCCAAGTCCAGTTACAAAGTCCCCAACAAATGCTTCTAAATGGCAATATCGACACTGAATTTTAGAATTTTGATATTTAAATATGTCTTCTCAAATTCTACTCAGTTCAAAATTAAAAAATTATTGTAAACATGAGACTTAACAAAAACAATGTTTTTTAAGTTATTAAAACAAAAGTAAATGTAACATGGAAATAAAGGCTGACAGCTACCCACAACAGACTTGGACAATGATAAAATTCATACCTCACTTTCATGAGCCATTAATGAAAGAGACCCAAGAACTGATTAAAAACAAAACTACAGCAGTATTTCTGTCACTCTTACCTGTGTAGCTTCTGGTTGTACCGGAACTTGATTAGGCTGAGCAAGTCTAGATTCAGAATGAACTGTAAAATTGACCCCAAAAAATCCACTGTTAATCCAAAAGTCAAATTTCTTCAGAGAAAACTTCTATAGCCAAATCCTAAAAAAACTTTAGTGATCATGAAAATAAACTGGAAAAGTATCATTAGGATTTTAGCTTTTAAGTGAGCTTTTCTGGTTTCCTTCTAGTCATAATGCTTCCACAGGAAAAAATAAGAACATGCTTTTAAAACACCTATATTCATGGGGCGCCTGGGTGGCTCAGTGGTTAAAGCCTCTGCCTTCAGCTCAGGTCACGATCTCAGGGTCCTGGGATCGAGTCCCGCATCGGGCTCTCTGCTCAGCAGGGAGCCTGCCTCCTCCTCTCTCTCTGCCTGCCTCTCTGCCTACTCGTGATCTGTCTGTCAAATAAATAAAAAAAAAAAAAAAAAAAAAAAATCTTTAAAACACCTATATTCAATTCAGTATGTAAACTGTCAACTCCCACCAGTCTTCTACTCCCTTCCCCAACCATGGTTAAAGAATCAAAAATTTGGATCTGTGGTCATTTAGAAATCACCCATTTTGCTGAGAGAGGCTAATGAACTCAGCATTAACTGAGTATCTAAATGGCTTACAGGTTCTATCAATGCTGTATATGTTGATTCTGCCACAACTTTTCAGCTATTAAAACTATGTGGTGTCTTTCTCTGGTAGAACTTGGAAAACGAACACTAATAACTGATTCTTTTCCATAAGGCCTAACCATAATTTGTTTTCTAACTCTTGGTAGAAATATTAGATATGAGCTTCCTTTACTTTGGAGAAATCCTAACTAACAAACTGTGTCATTAAACATGCTTTCCTCAGCAATTTCTTTTATGACACTGAAGATTTACATGATATTACATATGTTATTTTATTTAAGATTCTATCCATTTATTATTTGACAGAGAGATCACAAGCAGGCAGAGCAGCAGCAGAGGGAGAGGGAGAATGAGACTCGCCCCTTGAGCAAAGAGCCTAACATAGGGCTTGATCCCAGGACCCTAGGGATCACGACCTGAGCTGAAGGCAGACTCTTAACCGACTGAGCCACCCAGGCGCCCCTAAGTATGTTATTTTATATAGTCCCACTTTTGTACCCTTAATAATGACATGTTTTGGGAAAAAAAAAACAAGACTCAAAATGACTAACGGTCCTGGAGAAAAATGGACCACTTAACCACATACAAGATGCCAATCCTCTTTAGTGCTATTTCTAATAATGGTATAAGACTAGTAATACAAGTTTGAAACTTCAACTGTCTTTTTTCAAGATTTTTTTTTTTTTTAATTTATTCACTTGAGAGAGAGACAAAGCATGAGAAGGGAGGGGGTCAGAGGGAGAAGCAGACTCCCTGCTGAGCAGGGAGCCCGATGCGGGACTCAATCGAGGGACTCCAGGATCATGACCTGAGCCGACGGCTGTCGCTTAACCAACTGAGCCACCCAGGCATCCAGAAACTACAACTGTCTTTAGGCCAATCTTCCCCTTTCCTCTTAAGCATCCCCTTAACCACCTCACTGTTGCCATCTCATTTTTATTTAGATAATAAAATGTTCAGAAATTCTCCTAAAAAGCTGCAAACACCCTTCAGAGAAAGACACCTCTATTATTTTTATCCTTAATTTTGAAATTTAAAAAGCCAAGCACAATTTAACTTACATAAATTACAGTAATAAGCAAAACTGGTCTGTAATGTTACAAATCAGGAAATGGTTCCCACAGAGCCAAAAGAGAGGGTACACTAGTGACTGAAAAGGGACACAAATAGGCTTCTGAGGTACAGGTAATGTCCCATTTCTGGGTGCTGGTGTATTCAGTCTGTGAAATTCATCAAACTACATTTGCACGTACTTAAGTTTATATATGACAATAAAAGGTTAAAAAGAAGCAACGTAACTATAGTTATTCATGTTACAGGGAAAAACAGTATTTCTTACCAAATTAAAAGACCCAAGATCCAAAAGTTAAGCAAACATTAAAAGGAAATAATTAATTTTCACATACTTTACAAAACCTGAGAGCACTGGCCCTGTATTTTTCACATAAGAATACACCATTACTAACCCGGAGGGCAAACCAGCTGGGGCATGTCCATGTTTTGTGTCGGATTCATAGGCTGTGCAGATACAATGGCAGGATCAAGTGTCTGGTTTTCAAAATCCAGCATTGAATCCTGCAAGTCAGGATATAATGGAATTAAATCAAATAATGTAAACACTTAAACTTTCAGTTAGTGTTTGACTCAACTGCACCTACCTGTATGAAATTATAGGGCCCCTGCATCTGCGCCATAAGGTCCTGGACTCGCTGTCTTCTCACAACGGGATCTGCCTGAGCCACTGGAGTCAAAGAATGGGGCTCTGGCACTGAAGGAGACGCAGCCTGAGGTTGCTGCTGGAGTGAATTTACCACCTAAAGGGGAAAATGAGGGGAGAGATGCAGACTGGGAGCATGAAAGAGCTCCATTCATTACCATCATGACAGGTCCCCAAACTATATGGCACTATACTATAAACAAAGTAGCAGGCTTTAATGTAGTTTCTCAAACTGACCATAGTTATAAGTTTAACACTGAGTGCTGTCACTTCTACAGTGTTCTCAATTCCACAGGACGACTATGTAGCATTTCAGATTTACTTTATAACCTGCTTTCGAAGATTACCCGTGCTTGCTTCCTAAAAGAATGTACTGTGCTTAAAACTGCTATGCCTTCTATAGAAAGAAAATAAACCTGTATTTACCTCAATACTTGACTGAGTCAGCACTCAAGAAAAGTTAGTTGTTATCATCATCAAACTTTGAGTTCCTGTTTCATTCTCTCTAGGATGAAGCCCTATCACCTTATATAACTTGCTACAAAAGCCAAAGATCACTATACCTACCTTTTACCTACCTCTAATAATTTCTTCTGATTATTATTTAGTAATTCCCCACTCTTCTGGGAAATCTCACTGATTTTTATTATATTAAATTTATGTTCTGTCTGGCTTCTAATCCTGGGCAAGTCATACCTGGTGAGCCTAGATAAATCATAAGCTTACTTCTCTTATAAGCAATAGTGAGATAATCACTACCTAAACTATTACGAAGACCAAAGATGGACACAGATGACTGATGTGTCATCTACATCTACATCTCAAAAAATTCCTTAGAATTCCATCTGAATAGCCTTTGGAAAGGCCCTACCTATCAAGTACTTAAGAACAAACCATACTGGCACAGTACTAAGTAAGATAATATACTATTCTCTCCCAATAAAAAGCAAAAAGTTCTACTAAGCACTGTTACTTCCCAAACTTTTCTACTATGCCAACACATACTTTTCATCCCTAACATTCAATTTTTTAAAAAGGCTAATAATTCATATTTCTACCCCTATATTCATGCTAATATATACCTATTACCTCACTCCCCTAAAAAAATATACCAAATCTACTTAGTCAAAGCCCAGGAGGTTTGCATACCTCTTACACAAATCACCATTCTACAGAGAGATCTCGTAGATCTATTTTTCTTCTAACCCTCCTCTAATACTTCTGAACTGCCTTGCATAATTCAGCAAATACATATACTGTCTTGCTAGCGCTTCATGGGACACTATTTTCATCCAAACTAGGTAACTTTCTAGAGTACAGGGCAAGTTGTTTACTCAATCTATCAACAGTGCATTTTGGCACATCTATAAAGAGCTAAAGGTACTAACACATCTTTGAAGAAAGATCTTAATGGAATAATATTAAAGAGAAAAGCATTATTATTCACAGTTGAAAGCTATTTTTTCTGTACTTCAGATATATAAAAGAAGCAACCAAAAAGAGGATGGAAAGGATGGCAAGGACCAACTTGGTAAGGCATTCTGATTTTATCTTATAGGTTACACAGCACCATCAAGAGTTTCAAGTAAAAGTAACTTAATTAAAACTATTCTAATAATTGGCCTATAAAAATGAGTAAGATAGCCTGGAGCACTCAGGAAAGAGATATATGAAAGGGGCACCTGAACTAGACATGAGGACCTAAAGAAAGGTAATGTCAATTGAGAAACAGAATTAAGAAACACTAGAGAAATCTAGAGCATTAGGGAGAAGGAGTCTAAGATGACACTCCAACATATTCCCTTGGAAGGTGGGCCTTTTCTAAAGGCTATCCATGTGGGTGCCCAGATTTTTATAGAGCAACCTGGTATCAACAACATACAAATCATGTACTTTAATAACCCCAAGTTACACACATATAACTTTATATATATGTTCTATAGCTGATCAACTAGAGATTCTATTAAACATCCACAAGTATAAATAATCTTTTAAACATAATGATCTTTTAAGTTTAATAAGTTTGTTATGATAATAAATGTACTAAAAACATACAATCTTAATTTGTTCTTAGGAGATAAAAATTACTAATAAAAAAAGACAACAACCTTGCACCCAAGAGAACTCTTACCTCAACTGTTTCGACTGTCCACTCATCTACCTGCTCCTTTTCACCACTGCTGAACTGTGTTTCTGCCATAAATTGTCTATTTACATACTGCAAAGCAAAGTATATGTTTCAGAGTTCTGCTTGAAAGGCAGAAAAAGAAGGCCAGCATTAAATAAAAATTATACCTCTGTTGATTCAACTTCACTTTGTTCAGTGTATTCTTCTGCAGGCTCAGGTTCTAAGACGTTAAAAGATGATATAAACGAAGAGAAAGAAGAAAAAAATTTTATTTAAATATTTTATTTATTTGACAGACAGAGATCACAAGTAGGCAGAGAAGCAGGCAGAGAGAGAAGAGGAAGCAGGCTCCCTGCTGAGCAGAGAGCCGGATTCGGGGGCTCAATCCCAGGACCCTGGGATCATGACCTGAGCTGAAAGCAGAGGCTTTAACCCACTGAGCCACCCAGGCGCCCTAAGAAAATTTTTTTAAAAATTAACAATTCTTTTAAACTCCAAATAAGTTAGCAGTTTACCATCAAATAACCACAACTTATTAACAAAGTTATAGTTAGCATTAAGTTTCTGTATTTTAATCATTCTTACAATAATGTATTTAGAAAGCGTTTTCTTTACATTTACTCCAGAATGAATCAGGCTCAAGAGTAGTTATCCTGGATTAGGTATAATGCCAGTAAAGAGCTAAGTTAAAACTTCTCTCTCTAGCCTAAGAAGTAATATTATAAAGCAGCATACAGATTGAAATCTTCCTCTCTATTTTAATCACTTGGTGAAAGCAGTTAAAGGTGGAGAAAAGACTTCCCTATGTTGATCTGCAACCATAAATTCCACCAACGTGCAATCTTCCTTTGTAGCTTCAACCTAATAGCTAACATTGTAGGAAGCGCTTACTATGTGCCAGATACCTGATACATACTTCTCTCTAAACAGTGAACCTGAGGTACAGAGAAATTCAGTCACTTGCCCAAAGTTACACAGCTAATGAGTGTCAAAGCCAAGATTTCAATCCAGGCAATCTGATTCAAGAATCCATGCTTTTTAACCACTACAAAATTTATACTCTGACAATGCTTCCAATGATACTCAGACTTAAGTTATCGTAAAAGGACTCCTAATGAGTGCTTACCTACTTATTAGTTTATGCCAAGTGTTAAAGTTAACTGGAAAAAATCTCTTTCCATTGAGATATTTACACTTGAAGATTACTGAGTTATAATCACCCCAACATTTAAAACATACACACGCACATATGTGCCCTCATACTACTCACTTCATATACTAGCATGGTAAACAACGATAAATCTGGGCATGCCAGCCAAAATGTACTTAAAAAAGCCCTACAACATTTCTCCTCATCTGTATTACAAGAGCCCAGCAATATTGCAACAAAAAAATATCGGTTTGTAACAGTGATCCAACTGAACATTTGAACCAGTAAGTAAATGACTGGTATTTGGGCAGAGGGAAAGGGAGACATTCTTAAACAGATTCCTGACCCAGCATGGAGCCAGACACAGGCTCTATCTCACAACCCTGAGATCATGACGTGAGATGCAGTCAAGACTGGGACACTCAATGGCCTGAGCTACCCAGGTGCCCCTAAATGACTGATACTTAATACCTCTGGAATAACTCTTAATACACATTTAATATTTTGTCATGCTTAAAGTTTCATTAAAAACCTCAATGTGCTTATGTAACTAAGTAAATGTATGGCCTGAACTTGTGGCAAAAGAAGTAAAACCAGGACTATGAGCTAAAGCTCATATCCACCCAAGTACTTACCAGCTTCAGCTACCTGGTCTTCAGCTGTAGGTGCTGAAGCTGACTCTTCTTCTTCACACAGCCCATTCTGGTGGTTGTGGGTGCTGTCAAAGTAGTTTGACTGGAAAACACGCTCAACAATTTCCTTTAGAGCTTTATCTAGAAATTGAATATGAATTATAATGTTAGACCATCTCAGAATGCCTGACTCGAATAAGATTCAACACGCTACAAAATACTGCTCCAAGAAAAAAAACTTGTCAACCCTTACTGAAACATACTATAAAAAACATTAAAATCCACCAAAAACAGAAACGATGGAATGATAGAGAACAAAAAGAACCTATCAGTATTAAACTTTACACACTTAAAGGAAGTTAGTTCAAAACAAAAAGCTGACAGTTATTTATTCATTCTTTAGTATATATTTAACGCCTACCTGTATGTTGGGCAATGAATGCGGTAGGCAATGGGGCTACAACAAGATTTGTAAAAGATACAGTATCTGCCCTCAGTTTATAGTCTAATAGAGAAGAATTATCAGATACAAAAACAGTAAAATCACATCTGTGAAAAGTACTACACAAAGTTACAATGGATTGGACCTAGGCAGGAAGAAACTTGAGAGGCTTTCCTCGTTAAGTGCTTCAAGAGCACAGATCTGGAAGATGAGTAGTAGAAAGAAGAGAAGTGCTTCAAAGCAGAGACAAAAGCATTTAAAAAGCCCTATATGAAGAGAAAGGGTGCCAAATACAAGAAAATGAAAGCATGTGCTGTGGCTTGAGCCATAGGGAGCAAGAAAAAACATAAAGAAAAGACAAGTCTGGTAAAGGCCAGAACATGCAAGATCTTTAAGTTAAAAACAACTGTATGTAAAATATAAGAAAGCCATTAAAAGAATTTAAAGAAGGATGGGGAGGGTGGATTAAGTTAAGAGATTGCATTAGACAAGAGACAGGCAGAGAAGTGGAAGGAAGAGAAAAAGAAGTAGATAGATTCAAAACATATTTAAAAGGGAAAGCTGTCAGAATTTGATACACCTGGATATAAGGGGGCAGGGCAGCAGGTGAAGGTATGTGTCAAGAATTAATCTTGGGGCGCCTGTGTGGCTCAGTGGGTTAAAGCCTCTGCCTTCGGCTCAGGTCATGATCTCAGGGTCCTGGGATCGAGCCCTGCATCGGGGTCTCTGCTTAGCAGAGAGCCTGCTTCCCCCTCCCTCTCTGCCTGCCTCTCTGCCTACTTGTGATCTCTGTCTGTCAAATAAACAAATAAAATCTTAAAAAAAAAAAAAAATTAATCTCAACTTCCTGGCCTTATATAGTACATGCAGAATGTACCTATGTATGTAGAATGTATCTATTCCCTAATAGGTCACTTTACAGATAAATAAAACTTCAAAGACATTATCACAATATAGTTAATCCTGTTAACAATAAAACTAACAAGTTTTTGAATGAGCATTCACATCTCCCTTCCTCTGCATCAGAGCCTCCTAACTAAGAATTACTTGTTTTAAAAAAATTGTGAAAACTAAATGCACATAAAAACACCAATTTGAGTTCATTAATAACTTTTCATTAGCAATAAAGATGATACATTCTTTTTTTTTTTAATTTTTTTTTTTTTGAAGATTTTATTTATTTATTTGACAGAGAGATCACAGGCAGGCAGAGAGAGAGGAGGAAGCAGGCTCCCCTAGAGAGCAGAGAGCCCGATGCGGGGCTCGATCCCAGGACTCTGAGATCATGACCTGAGCCGAAGGCAGTGGCTTAACCCACTGAGCCACCCAGGCGCCCCAAGATGATACTTTCTTAAGATAAACAAGACTAGGTAGAAAATAACACCAAAGTAATATATAAGCTAGACATTTAACCCTCATTACTCCTCAGTAACGTTCATGAAAATTTGATCAGGCTTGACCTAAAACTACTTTTTAAGCTAACAAGTTTATACACACATGTAGATTTCTTTCTATTCGAACTTCAAATGATAAATTCAGTACATATTTGATGCAGATCTAAAATTAAGAAGCAAATATGATTTTTTTAATGAAGAAATATAGTAAATAATGCAAGTTAACAAACCAAGAAAATTATTTCTCACATGAAAAGATACAAAAAGGTTGGTTCCCATATCTGATTTACCTATTTCCTTAAAGAAAATACACTCCAAATTACATCATACAGTTTTGCCAATTAAAGCTTTTTATCCAATTTTCCACCAAACAGCTAAAAATAAGGTATAAACACAGATACATTCATCTTAATATGTTCAAAATCTACTTCCCTAAATCAACTTAATAAATAGCAAAGATAAGAACCTATTCCCTTATTTACTAAGGAAATAAACCTAAAATTCCTAATTTACTGAGGTAGTGAAACTTTTTTTTTTTCCCTAAAGATTTTATTTATTTGACAGAGATCACAAGCAGGCAGAGAGGCAGGCTGGGGGGCACGGAGGGAAGCAGGCTCCCTGCTGAGCGGAGATGAGGGGCTCCATCCCAGGACGCTGAGATCATGACCTGAGCCAAAGGCAGAGGCTTAACCCACTGAGTCACCCAGGCACTCTGGTAGTGAAACTTAAATGTCCCTTTATTTTCTTTAAAATGAATATGCACCGTTCATTTGAGATTAAGGTTTTAAAAAAAATACAAAGAAAATAACATCCTCAAATTAGCAGAAGTCTAAAAAATAACTAAGAAAAAAAGAAAGCAAGGATCATGAGTAAAATGTATGAGGTATAGAAAATATTCTTCATAAAATTTCACCAACAAGGGAAAAAACCAGTCCCTATCTAATACCAACAACTCTGAAAAGTTTATTTGGTGTTAATCTGTCCAACTTCAAGCAGAGTAAGTTATACACAAAACCATGGTAAGTGAGGATTCCCATCTCTACCGATTTATGATTGGTGTTTGTGACTTATACACACACATACACAGCACAAAAGAAAAAAAAAAAGGAAACAAACCAATAAACCAAAAGTAAACAGCAGATGAATGTTATTTACACAGTTCTGAAATTTCTTCAATTAACATTACTTTTAAACAGAAAACTAATTTTTAAAGATTCTTAGTTACAAAATAAAAAATTATGGTAATACTCACAGGTTGTTCCACATACAGATTTTTCCTTTCCTTCCAGCAAGTCCCATAGGTGAATGGAAGCATGTTCATACTGCTCATTCAACCTTATAATAATAATAGTAATTTAAAAATTAATCAATCACATTTTAGTTGTCAAGTCAACATTTAGAAGTTTCTACTATCAAATAGCTATACCTTAAGCTCATGTCCCGTTCAGGGTCTGCTAATTTGTAGAATTCATCCAACAATGACAATTCCTCTTCAGACAATATTGGCACTCCATTCAAACCTTGCTTCAGGTCAGTTCTCACCTCATCATCTCCCAATTTGTCCAAAACATACTGGAGCTCAAGTACAGTTTTTAAACGTTTTTGTTCTGCTTCTTCTCTCATAAGCTGCTCCCGACGCGCTGTCTTCTTTATTGTTTTCTGAATCTGCATTAAAAGTTAAGCATAAGACACTGAAATTAATTTCACAAAATTCCTAATACAGTTCAACCAATTTCAGGTCCAATAAAAATAAGACCTACTCATTGAGTATGTAACCCTGACACACAAAATGATGATTCCCAAATTACAAGTAAGAATATTTAATACATTATCTGTTTTAAACAGTTGTTAGAAACTTAGAACACATCCTCCCCTCCCTATAATTATTATACTACTGAAATGTTACCAGTAAAGGATGTATTTGGGATTTGCTTCAAAATAACCTAGCTGATAGCGAACAAGGGAGTAGTTGTGGGTATGTATGAAACAGGACTGCCATGAGATGAAAATCATAGAAGCTGAGTGTGGATATAGGGGTGTTCATTATATCCCTTTCTTTAGTTCTGCCATTTTTCATAATAAAAAGCATAAAAACTAAAATTTCTAATTAAGCCCTGAGTCAATTAAAAAAGAAACCCAAACATAGCAATAATAAAAAATCTTACCTATATCCATCTCTTCTATGGAAAAATGGTCCAAATTTTTTCATTTTAAATATTTACTATCGACTCACAGGGATGACTGGGTTGTGGGATGCCACAACCCACCATTGCCTTCCTCATCCCCAACTATCCACATTAGTATTGTATTATCCCAAAATATTGAAAATTGTGACTATGGGCGCCTGGGTGGCTCAGTGGGTTAAGCCTCTGCCTTCGGCTCAGGTCATGATCTCAGGGTCCTGGGATCAAGCCCCGCATCGGGGTCTCTGCTTAGCAGAGAGCCTGCTTCCCCCTCCCTCTCTGCCTGCCTCTCTACCTACTTGTGATCTCTCTCTGTCAAATAAATAAATAAAATCTTAAAAAACAAATAAAATAAAATAAATAAAAATATTTTAAAAAAAAATAGTGACTGTGGAGTACCTGGCTGGCTCAGTCAGTAAAGCATGCAACTCTTGATCTCCAACGTCATGAGTTCAAGCCCCATGTTGGATGTGGAACTTACTTAAAAACAGTAACAAATTAACAAAAGAAAAAGAAACTTGTTTTTATGAATAAGGGTATGCTGGCAGACAAAAAGAGGGTGGCAGAAAAACAGAGATATATACTAAGTACACATATTTTTTCCCCCACTATTCTTTTCCTTCTGCTAGTCTTTTATTTTCCTGGGAAGATAAAGGGAGACCCAGTAGGTCTTTTTTCTCATGCATAGTGCCAACCTGGGGTCAAAGGTCAGACTTTAAAAAAAAAAGGTCACTCTTTTCAAGAGTCCTAAAAAGTATTTTACTTCCTACCTTTCCCCCTTTCCCCCTTTCTCAAGCCTCACTAGGATAAACTGAAAGAGAAAACCAAATAAAAGCATACGAAATGAATAGCAAAGGGAGATATGGAAAGAGAGACCTAGGAGAACAATGCAGTCTACAATAAGACCAATTTAGGATGGCAGCAGAGAGGGTAGCAGATTAAATGATATTTAGCAGTAAGTAGCATGTGAACATAGAGATGAAATCTAAGCTAGGGCAGTACAGAAAGCTTTCAAGGAGAAAGTGACATCTACTCCTAAGATAGATAAGCCTTCCATCTTACTGGGGAGCCGAGGCTGGGTGTGTTTGTGTGTGTGCAATTTTAGGACAGAGAGGCAGCTAGTAGCCAGGGGCCGGAAATACAGGAGGAGGGGCAGGAATGTGAAATAAGGCAAGAAAGCAAAAGAAATAAGATAAAGAATGCCACTTTGGATAAAGTGAGTTCAAGTAAAGAATATGAAAACTGAAAAAGGTAGGCTGGAGCAGCATTAAAGAATTCTTTTTTTTTTTTTTTTTAATTTGAGAGAGCGAGTGAGTGAGAGAGCATGAGCAGGGGGGAGAGGGAGAAGCAGGCTCCCTGCAGAGCAAGGAACTGGACTTGGGATTCGATCCCAGGACTCTGGGATCACCAAGCCAAAGGCAGATGCTTAAACAACAGAGCCATCCAGGTGCCCCAAGAACTCTTGAATGCAAAACAAAACAGGTGTTTAACTGTGGGAAGGTGCAATAAAGGATCAGAGTTCAATAAAGACTGCAAATGAATTTAAATGCCTGGTGAAAAAAGTTCCTGCAAACATCAGTGTTAAATCAAAAGCAAAGGAGAATGCAAGTATTTTCACTTATACAGTGTTAGTAGCCTGAGAAATTGACTGTATTATTAAACTGTATAGCAATCCTACTTCTATGATCCATATTTTTTTAAAGAAATCAGAAAAACAAATTGGCCAGGATTCATCAAGCCTAAGGGTCTGACCTAGGTGAAGTGGAACAATTCCCTATTTTGGTGTAAATTAAGCTTCCTTTATTCCATTTGGAGGGATATCATTAATATTTTCCACATTTAATCAAATTTAATAAGTAATAATGATATTAAGTGCCTGAAATATATTAGCCGTAAGTCAAATGCTGTTCCAAGCACAACTCTGTGAGGAGGCAGGGGCCATTATTATCGCCACTTTACAGATCAGAAAACTGAAGTAGTGTGACAGCCTCTCCCTGCTTCTCTTCTGATACTCCTGGTCCTATTTCTCTGGAAAACCCTGAATGTTATAGGGACAGACAAGTAACTAAAAATTAACAGTAACTCAGAGTCCTACAACTACTAAGTAAAAGTGGCAGAATCAGGATTCAAAACAGACTGGTTCCAGAATCAGAGTTGTTTTTTTTTTTTTTTTTAAAGATTTTATTTATTTATTTGTCAGAGAGAGAGAGAGAGAGAGAGCAAGCACAGGCAGACAGAATGGCAGGCAGAGGCAGAGGAAGAGGAAGAAGCAGGCTCCCCGATGAGCAAGGAGCCCGATGTGGGACTCGATCCCAGGACGCTGGGATCATGACCTGAGCCAAAGGCAGCTGCTTAACCAACTGAGCCACCCAGGCGTCCCCAGAATCAGAATTTTTAATCTCTGTACTGCAATGTCTCTCCTCACATAACAAATTGTTTTGTTTATTCATTTTACAAAATCAGAGGCAACTTTGTATTTAATGCTGTTAACCCCTCTCCAAATAAGCTAACACCAATTCAGGATAGGAATTTTCTGGTCTCAACTTTCAACAAATTATTTGACTTTGCTTGTATATAATTTTTGTCCTGTTCCCAAAGATTTCTATCACATCCAAAGATGTTGGGAAAAACACACCACTTTGGTGGATCACAAATTGATACAAGAGGAATGTATCCCAGTCTGCCACATTCTTTAAGATCCCTAATGGAGACAGTGATTACCAAATATAAAAACAAGACTCTATTTTCTGATAGTTAACAGGATTGTAAGATGGTCATTAGGCATCAAGGAATATATGAAAAATAAATGTGCATACATACAAGGAATATACAGAAAATAAATGCATGTGTGTATATAAATAAGCTAATTTTTTTTAACAATGAAATCTTTTGGGTAACTACTATATTAAATTTGTCATATCTGAAACCTTGGTTCTCAGGCATCTTTCAGGTATTACATTAAACTTTACAGAACTGGAAAGCATCTTAGGTATAACTGAATACAATCCTCTCAACTCGCAGAGAGCTTATCAACAATAATACAAGGACTAAAACCCAAAGAAACAAAAAAATGTTCTACCTTACTTTTAATATTTCATAAACACATATATAGTCTTTTACTTACATCTTGACTTAATGCCATGAAACTCCTCTGTAATTCTTTTGCAAATTCCAAGTTATTTGTGACTTCCTGGTACTTAGATACGGCATCCTAAAATAACAAAGACAAAACCCAATTTTACTAAAACACAAAGAAACACAAATTAATTTTCTTATTAAAAATAGCAAACATACAATCCTTAATAAAATGTAGCATCTTTACCAGCTGATCTTGATTAAGCCTTTCCCCTTTGTTCATTCGTTCCTGGTAATCATCAAGCTTGCCCTATGTTAAAAGAAAAAAAAAAAAAAATTATGCCCCACATTAAAGTACATACCAGCCTAACCATGCTGAAATACAAACCCATATCATCCTCTAAGTTTGTCTCAAATTTTGCCCTAAAGATGCTTTTAAGTTAATTTCAGGGTGGGTTTTTTTTAAGATTTCATTTATTTATTTGACACAGAGAGAGATCACAAGTAGGCAGAGAGGCAAGTAGAGAGAAGGGGAAACAGGCTTCCCGCTGAGCAGAGAGTCCAATACAGGGCTCGATCCCAGGAACCTGAGATCATGACCTGAGCCGAAGGCAGAGGCTTAACCCACTGAGCTACTCAGGCACCCCTAGTTAATTTCAGTGTAAGTTAGTGCATAAAGTAAGTTATTTAATAAACAGTAAGCTAAAAAAATGAACGTAGGTACTCCAGCCTGCTGAATGATACCAAATTTTGTACTATAAGCCAATGATATGACACAGCAATGCTTATTCTTTAGGTTTCTCAAAAAAAGATATGCATCAGATGGCCTGCATAAATGGTTCCTACCCACATGAGGGAGGGATACAATTTGGTTACAATCCTACTTATACAGGAGCATACAGACATAGACATTTTATAGTGTTGAATTCTTGTCTCTCTCTTTCCCCTTGAAAAGAATTCATGTGACTTAAAAAAAAAAAAAAAAAAGAAAGAAAGAAATCCTGTGACTAAGTCATAGAAAAAGAGTGTATTTTTCCTGATTAGACCCAAGTACTTATTATCTTTGATGTGCTTCATCCATTCCTTTTGAGTAACATGATATTTCAGTTATTCCATCCCCTTTGGATAGTGTGCCAGTCAAAGACTTTGCTTTATTTTCTCACATACGGAATTAAATGTGTGAAAGTAGGAACAGAAAATTAACCTCTGGTTTAAGTCATCTTTATTTTCACTAAAATAAAAACTGTGGCAGTTTCCCAGACTACTACTATTTGATAAGACCCCAAAGAAAAGATATCCAGGTAATGCAAAAGTCAAGAATTAAGTTATTGTTTTAAAGGTCAGGAGAGGGAGTAAACAGAAACCTAAATTAAGGGGGAGAAATTTTTTAAGGGGGGGAGGGGCAGAAGAAGAGAGAGGGAAAATCTTAAGCAGACTCCCCACCCAGCGCTACACCTGACATTGGGGCTCAATCTCACAACCCTGAGATTATTACTTGAGCTGAAATCAAGAGTTGGACACTTAACTAAGCAACCCAGAGACCCCAAGGGGGAAAAATATTTTTAATTAATATAATCACAATAAATTATGAACATATATTGTTCCTTACCCTTAGCAAAAATAAAACTAACCATGAAACAAAATACAAAATCTAATAAAATGCATTCAAATAAATTTAAAAACAATACTAATTAGTTTTAGGTCAAATGATCCATTTTCCTTATACCAGAAACAGTCAACTTGCATAACCATTCCACCCTAAAATAAAAAGCCTAACAGGATGCCTGGATGGCTCACAGTTGGTTAAGCATCTGCCACTGGCTCAGATCATGAGACCAAGGTCCTGGTATCACGCCCTGCCCCTCTCCTGCTTATTCTCGCTCTCTCTCAAATAAATAAATAAAACCTCCAAAAAAAAAAAAAAGAAGTGTAACAATCCCTTAGTTATCTTGGAGATAAATAAAACCAAGATAAACATTAAAACATTAAAGGCTGTTGAAAGTATCCAATTGTATTCTTAGGTGGATTATTTCACAAAATAACCTTCAGCTGGAAAGGTATAAAATTTGTCTAAGGTTGACTGCTGAAAAATGACAGCAGGCCTAATTCCAGGTACAAAAGATATGCTCAACTGCCTTTGAACACTCTTTGAGGATGAAGACAGTTCACTTCTTTTTTAAAAGAGTAGGCTACTTTTCTTTTAAAAGAAATAACAAACCAAACAAGATTTACTTTTAATAGTGATGACTTAGGGTATAATAATATTATATTATAGTAAGGATTCCTGTTTAGAAATATGTAGATAATAGAAGATATAAGAATGGAAAGAGAGCCCGAAATGTAATGCTACTACAGTAAAAATTCTGAATTAACTATTAGGCAAAAGAAAAACTACTATTAATTTATACCTGGCATTTATTATCCTCCCTTTTTATACATTTTTCAAAGAAGCTGTTGCTAAATCTAAAGTAATAAAGTTGAGTATACTATATACCCCTCATAAGGTACAGTTTTACATACCTGGTTTAGCTTTATCATTTAATGTCTTAAGAACTTAAAACATATATGCCAATTAAAATGGATGTCAAATCAAATCCTAAAACATGTACATATATAAATATATATGACAAGTTTTTTTATTAAGAATGGTACCTGAGTGGTAGAATTATAGGTGGAACTTGTTTCCTTTGATTTGTTTTGTACACTTAAGATAATTTGCGATGAACAGTTTGTATAATAAAAAATTGAAATTTCATACTATAGAAGATAGTAAGAATGACAGATTTCAGGATACTGCCAGGACTTTAACTATAATAATCCTTGAATAGGAATCTATATCGTCCTATACCAAGACAAGATATCCTAAAGCAGAAAAACCCCCAATTTTCTACACAGTAACAAATTTAGTATTCATCCATCCCAAATTTCTATGGCAGATTACATTTTCCAAAGACGGCTACATTTGCAGTTCTATGTACTCTTCTACCATGTGACCTTGACACTGCCCCATGCAGAACTAGTCCAATTCCCCTGTAATTGTATTCAGTGGGCTTCTACCAACAGACCACATGGAAGCAATCCTGTAAACTTCCAAGGCTATATCATAAAAGCAATGTTATCTCTGTTCTGTTTGCTAGTCACTAAAAACACTCGTGTTTGGAGCCCCAAGATATCCTGTAAGAAGTCCAGTAACCCTGAGGTTGCCATGCTATGAGGAAGCCAAGCCAATGAAGAGGCCTTATATAAGATTAGCAATACTAGTATTAGAATCATTCTAACCCAGGGATCAGACATGTGAGTGAACAAGCCTTAGTCTTCCCGCCTGGGGCCCCAGGAATCACAGAGCAGAGATACCAACTCCACTGTGTGCCTGTCTGAATCCGAGAGGCAGAGTCTCTGTGCATCAGAAAATGGAGTAAGTTTTGGAGTAATCTATCACACAGGAGTAACTGGAAAAACGGTGAAAGGGAACTCAAAAGAAAGGGAAAGCAGCTGCTACGTGAAACTCAGCTTCACAGTACTTATCTTCATTGAATTACCATCACCAAAAACTATGCAAAGACTTTGCAGCCAAAACAAAGATTTTTTTCATTAAAAATCATACATCTATTTCTTCTGCTTTTTATACTGCTATAACAGGTTTCAAATATTTCAATCTATAATAATTTAAGAGCCATGATTTTTAAAGGGAGGGCTGCCACTGACACAAGAAATGACAGTTTACTGTAACAGAAGAAACATGTTAAAAAATCATGATATAATTGAACAATCTCAAGGCTCTTTAACAGGGGATTTTCAAAAGCTGACCACACTTCCTTATACCTGGTGAGGTGAATTAAGGCAGCTTTAGTGATGCAATCCAAAAATGTCATTAATTACATGAATGGAAACTATGGGTCTTATCTAAAACATTTTTCTAACCATAATAAAACAAAAGTTTCATTAAAGCTTCACATTTGTTCCTCTACAGCCATTAACACTTGCTATACTACTGTTATAAATACCCTATCCCCTTATCCTGGCCCAATCTTCAAAAAAGCAAGATGCTAAGTCTGGTCAAAGTTCCTAATAAATAGCCCTCATTTGAGGAAACTCAAACTTACTAATAAGACTGCAGGGACAATTAAAAACTGCTCTACATTAAAGGACACTAGTTTTTGTTTTTATCAGTATAATACAGGATCTCCTGGCTGCTTGGGTATGTAAGTCTTTTATCACCATGGAATTTGAACTAATAAGGGAGGACCTCTGTTGCCCATTACATATAACTAGATCTGTACATAGCAGAGACCCTGTGTTGATCTACAAGCCAGTGATTTCCAAAGTGTGGTCTCCAAACCAGCAATACATCTGCATCCTTTAGGAACTTGTTATAAATGTAAATTCTCAAGGTGCCTGGATGGCCTGGCTCAGTTGGTGGAGATGCAACTCTGGATCTTAGGGTTGTGAGTTCAAACCCCATTGGGTATAGAGATCACTTAAAAAAAAATTAAGTCTTAAAAAGAAAAAAAAATGTAAGTTCTCAGGCACCACCCCAGATGCATCTGGGGATGGGACCCCATAATCTGTGTTTTATCAAGCCCTCTGGATGATTCTAACATGTGCTTAAGTTTGAGAAACAGTCACCTTGATCAAATATATTGTAATTCCCTTGTAATAACCCAGTAGAAGACAGAAATAAATTATTTTGAATCAAACATCTAATACAAATTGTGACCATAAAAATCATTATATGGCAGCCTCAATTTGGTGACTTAAAGGTTTAGTTTTAAACAAATTCAGAAAATTTGTTGAATGGTGGTTTTCTAAACCAGTTTATGAATCTGTTTAACCTAGCCATTTACATAAGACCCATTTATGATCTGAACACTGAAGAGTTACCATCTTCCATTCACGGTACTTTTACTAAACTGTGCACTGTCCAGAAGTTCAGAGTGCTTTATAATTAAACTTACTGATGAGTGCCAAATTTCACACTAGCAACAGAAAGCCTCTTAGGACAATCAATTGGTCTAATTTTCTGCCTTTCAAAATGAGGGTGGCTTGCAATCCCAGCTCACTCCTAAACAGCTTTCAGAAATTAAAAAAAAAAAAAAAAAAAAAAAAAGACATGGTACCTGCTCTAGTCCCAAGAGCCGATAACTCAAAGACGAATGGCACTATCATAACTGGCTTCGTGCCTATTGTCACATCCCATTCAAATGGCTTAAAGTCCAAGTAGAAAAACTCTTCATTTGGGGTTAAATTTGCAATATGAACTGTATCAATAAGCAAATAACTTGCTTTTCACAATGACTGATCCAACATTAA